GGTGAGGGAAAGGGGGTGTGGGGGGAGCCTCACATCAGAAAGAAAGCTGAGCTCTGACACTCCCTGAAACATCAGGGAAAGTCTCGCCAAGTGACTATCGAGTAAGGCATGCAGCAGTGGTCATACACAACAGCTTGAGTTTCCATCAGAGCTTTGTTAACCTTCAGCTCCCTGCGTGACTGTATTAGCAACAGAAACCAACTGGAATGTGCAATAAACTGTTGCCCTTTATTGTTTTTCTCGCATAGCTAAAATCATTGTTCTGCTTCTTTCTCCAGTGTATCCTCTGTCCAGTGTATCAATTCAAATAGATTTTAATGTTCTACCAATCCATTGAGAGAGCCTCTCGGCCGACCAATGGCAAACATTGATCGAAGCATCTCACAGAGCAGTGGAGTGAAACACAGGTCGTGGCATTTGGTCAGTTTTAGATCCAACAGTTTCAACTTGTCAAAAAACGGACCCGATCCAGAGTTTGGGACTTGATGGCTGACACGTTGAAGTATAAACCTGTATGTACGTGGCTTGCGAGCGACCCAGTTTGTAACACTGATGGTAGGCTTCCAATTTTCATAATGTCTCTTTAAACAGTTGGTGTGGCCGGTCAGCTCATTTGATTATACAAACTAGAAACTGCTTCAACAGCTGACAGGCAGCACGTGAACCTGCAGAGAAACTGAGAACTGTTATCGCGTGGTGTGTACGCGGTGTTAAGCCTGCAGAAAGAACCATGCAGATGGGGCAGTTGTGCTACCTGAGTGAGAAAAAGTGGAATATCCTTTGGGCAACTGAGCTGAGGAGCTCAGTTGGATTAAAAATAAGCATAAGAGATTCAGCTCAATGAGATTTGCTTTAAAACTACACACATTGAAGTTGTTAGGAGAATTTGTCATTTTAACTCCAACATTCCTTCAAAAGTTTATTCTCTTCCTACAAGGAAACCTTTGTTCCCCTCTCCCTCTCCTCCCCATACAAATGTACATAAACTCTCCTTGTGATGGAGCATTTTGTCTCCCTCCCTCTCATTTGCCTGCGATCTGCAGAGGTGAAGGCAATGACTCATTACTGCACAGAAATGCAGTTAGACAGACCTGAAAAATCCTACTCCGTGGGGATTTCTGCCTGGGCAAAATTCCCTGCCGAAACCTGCATGTCGAAAATCAATCCCAGAAATCTGCTGCTTTTTTGACAGAGGTTTAAACGAATTGTGCAGTGTTTCCAAAATGTTAGCGTTGCAGTGAAAACCTGGCTCAGGATATTCTGCTATTCAAAACCATTCATGTTCTGTGTGTGTGTGTGTGCAACAGTATCAATGTGTGTGTGTCTGTGTACTGCAGGGTGTATGTCTGTGTGTACTACAATGTGTGTATATACGTGTACTACTGTATGTGTCTGTGTGCATTATGGGTGCATTGTACAGTGTGTGTATGCATGTACTAATGTGTGCATTGTGGGGGCATTGTACTGTGTGTGTGTCTCCTACAGTGTTATGTTATAATAATAATCTTTGCATTTGATATAGCGCCTTGTCATGTCTTCGAGACAACTCAAAGCACTTCACAGAATATAATATAAGTGTTGCTGACTGAATTGACTGTATATTTTGTGGGCAAAACAAGGTAGCCGATTGCGCATAGCAGTGTCCCACAAACAGTCATGGATTGAAGTGACCAATTTTTTTAAAAAGGAATTATTACCCCCGGTAATCCACTAACAACTTCCTAATCACTGATAGGTAAACAGGGGTGTGTGGAGTAAGGAAACTTTTCGCTTTGCTGGGAATTGAACCCAGGTCTCTCACTTGTGAGGCGAGTGCTCTAACCACTGAGCTACAAATCTCTGTTTAACACAATCTTTTCTCAGTACTGCTCTCCGGTAATTCTGAATCATGCTCAATGAGGGAGTTGACTGGATCTCTGTCTCAAAACGTGGAATGGAATGGATCCATGTTAGTGTCTGGCATCTGTGTCATTCACTGACCCTCTCCCCACAACCCATGGCCTGGCAGAAACTGGAAGTTCAGCATGTCTTGCTGTGAAGTCATGCACTTCTTTAAAACTAACCATGGCAGCAACTCCTGGTCAGTTACTCAGGTACTGTTGCTGACTGCAATGAATGAAAGCTATTTAATGGCAGAGGAGAGCGGGGCGTAGAGAGAAATGGTGATGTCATAGAGTCACAGTAGAGGAAATCCAGTAGCTTACAAAAGAGAAATTCTCACTCTGTAGAAATTACCCAGAGTTAGAGTGTAAATGAGCACAGTGAAGGAGTGTATGTGTTGGTGGGGGAAGGAAATCATCATTGGCTCAGCAGAAATGGGTGGAATGGAAAATGGCTACAATTCACCCTCAAACCCATGTTAGCAATAGGGTAATGTATTGGCAACGGAAATGACTCTTTCATAGATTCCACTGGTGTGTTTGTACACAAGTCCAAGTAGCAGCTTCCAGCTGAGCAACCCCCAGGTCCTTCGAATATAACCAGGAATGTGAATGCATGTAATGGAAACAGATTTGGCAGATTGGGAACATTTGTCTGATTCTAGTTAATGTCATCACATGGCATTTAGATGATTTCTAACCACAAAGGGATTTGGAGTGTGAAGTAAAGGATTGTACATTAAGACACTTTTTCATAATATATAATGCAATTTATTAACACCTTCACTTGATTAAAAGTGCTTTGAGCGGAGCAATGAAACAGTCAAAGAACAGCATCTTAGATAAAACATCCAAGGCAGCAAGACAGGAGGCCATTAAAAACAGAGTTACTAGACTGGTTTAACAAGAAGGGTGATAGACCACAGGAAATTCTACTCACCTAAAAATGGCTTGATTCTATAAAGGAAAGTGATAGCATTGATATCGGGAAAGGATGAAACCAAATTGGCTTTGGCTCTTTTCAAAATCTCTCATGACCTTGGAGCAGTCGATTCTGATGTTGGGAAGAACCGCTATGAAATCTGAAATAAAATCACAAAATCTGAAGTTAAAAGAAAACAAATTGTTTGAAATGTTCATCAGGTCCATCAGCGTCAGAAAGAGAAAAAGGAATTCATGTTTCAGGCTAGAAACCTTACATTTGAGAAGCTGTTTGTGCTGTGCTGGGTGCATATAATTATTAGTCAATGTGAGTGAGGTGGAGAAAACTGCCATGGCTTTTACACTGGAAAAGTTTAAATAATAGTAATCCTTGCACACAAAACCACAATATCCTTGATCTGACGACTCAAGATGGCAAGTTTTACTGCTGAGGTGATCTTGCTTAGCTCACTGATATCTCTACAGTGCCAGCAGGTATACAGTGATTCCTGTTTCTGGATGAGCCATTTCTGTATGTTTTCATACTACTCAAACATCAAGTAGAGCCTTCTTAATGGAATGACTCCAAGCTATTGAAATTGCAATGCCAATCCACAATTGCTAAACATTAAAATCTTATCACTTACCCTTCGCACTGTAATTGTCCAAATTGGAAAGCGGAAGAAACCATTTTTTAAAAGTAATTTGAATTGACTTTTAAAAAATGACCTTTACAAGCTGTTTTTTCAGTCTGTGGAAAGGTAGCAAAATTATGATTGATGTGACTGTATCGTGGCCCATTTCTGAGATCTGGAAGAGCACGTGGGGGTGAGGAAAATGCAAGTATATTGGCGGACCTCTGCGACACAGTAACAGGCAAAGGCATCAAAGAATTAATTCTTTCAGATCCCCTTCTCCATCAACAAGCTCACCTTTTTCAGCATCTCCTCACAAACTATATACTTGTCCTTCCAAGAGTATAACAGCTCCAAAAAGAATCTTACCAGCTCCATCACAAAGATGACTTTCTTCAACCAACCAACTCCTGTCGTCAAACAATAGATTCCTGTCTTCAATCCAGAGGTTTCTGTCTTCAACTGAGAGCTTTCCATATCCAACCAGGAGATTTTCTTCTTCAACCAAGAGATTACCTTCTTGTTTCAAGAGATTGTCTTCTTTGAATTGAAATTCAAAAAATGAAGATGAAATCAGGTTATCTGGTTATCAGGTTATTATAAATTACCTTCTTTGAATGAGGAAGGTATTACATAGATTGTTTTTCTACTTCCTCTTGCGTAGTTTGTTTTTCTACTTCCTCTTATCTCACTCTGATCATGTACTCAAACATCTTCTATTATTATGGAAGTTTAAACTTTTTCCTATCACCAACATCATTTTTCTGCAGTTCTGAGGTATACATAAGAGTGAGCCAAAGACCACAGGAGTGACACAGAGCCAGTTATTTTTTCAATCTTTTTCTGACATTTTACAATGTGGAATCACAAAAAAGAGACTCAAAAAAGAGTAACAGGAAGAGAGATTCGAGTGGATGATGGTGGATTGGATGCTAAGAAAATTGCACTAAGAGAGCTAGGAATAAGGTCTAGGAAAGGCACCAGTCTTCACATCTTTAGTAACGTCTCTTGCAAAAAGCGAGAGTTCAGCTGGGGAGAGAGCAGAAGCTTGGGTGACCAGGACTACATAAAATGGGAATGTTCCTGACTGTGGGACATCTATTAGGGAATTCCATTAGCTGAAGAAGGCTATGTGGTTTAATCTCATTGTTGGTGCTGGTGTTGTGCATTGATGATTCAAATAGCTTGTATTTGCATGAAACATTTGAATAAGTAAAGCAGAGAGGTGAGATCTGCTGCTGGCAATGACCATCACTCTACACATCTTGCCCAACAAGTTATTTTGGATCTGTTTTTCTACTTGTTTTTCGCCAGGACTCAGAGCAGCTGAAATGGTCACTAGGGTCAAGGATTCATTAAACTCAGTTCCTGTTAACCCTGTAAGCCAAAGCCCTAAAAGGTAGGGTGGTCCTAGCTGGACAAGCAATTGGAAGCTTGCCAGACAAGGCTCTCAATGGTAAGTTATATGGTTTTAGCTGGTTAAACACCAGCAGTATTCCAATGCACACTCTGGAGTCCCCAAGTACTTGCCAACCAACACCTAATGCTCTCTGGAATTTGGTAAGAGGGTGCATTTCTCCAGGGAGAGTATGGATTCCATTCCTGACACACAGAATTTTTATGTGTAGGTAGCATACAAATGTGGATTTCTCATTCTGTTTTGGATGCTCTTAAATACAGTGATAGGTTTCCACATAAGTCGGACAACAAAAAAATCTGTTTCTTCTTTGTCGAACTGTAGCAAGTGTCAGATCCTCCAAGTCATTCTTGTTGTGCTTTATCTCTTAGTGCCTCGAAAGCCTTTCTGTCTCCAGCAGACAAACACACGAGAGCAGCCAAGCCAAGCTTCTGAGAGCAAGGTTTCGCCCCGGGAGAAAGCAAGGATGGAAGCCCCCGCGCCGCTCAGCTCCTGCAAGGAGAAAGCAAGCAAAGTGTCTGCACTGATCAATCGCTTTGAGGAAACCAGGTAATATCACCTGCAAACAAACAGCGAACAACAACAGGTAATATTGCCTGTAAACAAACAGCAAACAACAACAGGTAACATCGCCTGTAAATAAACAGCAAACAATAACAGTAACATCGCCTGTAAACAAACAGCAAACAACAACAGGTAATATCGCCTGTAAAGCATATTCACAGCAAGCTTTAGAAACTAAATTGGTTAAGGATGAATGGTTTTACCACCAGCTCAGAGCTTGTTAGTGACGTAGGTTGATACAATTTAACCGAAGGAAACAATAAAAAACGCCACTTGTAAAATTCATATCACAATGGCATTGAGTTGTGGTTAAGGAGGGCTCAGAATGATCAGGGAAATTTGCATGATAAAGGCAATAAGTTCAAAACAGAACTTCACCATTTCTATTGGTATCTCTCAAACCACACTCATGCTCAGGAAACCAGCAGTTCTGCAGTTCTGTCTCTTACAGATATTTTCTAATTCAACAAGGAATTTAAGGGATAATGAGCAAGTGTGGGTTCTTTCTCTCACTGATTCATCCACCTGAACTGGTGATCTGTGAATGGGGAATCTGTCTTGCCTTTCTGTTTATCTGCTGTTCTTTAATTCCATGATATAGTGCAAACCAATGTGTTTTGTGCATATGTGAAGTGCTGTGTATGTATATGTGTGAATGCAGCTTTCCGGGTGCCTCAGTTGGTAACACAGTGCTTAGTGAGTCAGAGAACTGGAAGCTCCTATGTGCAATCTCTGTTATTTTCAGGTATTGCAAAAGCTAGGACACAAGTTAACATCAGCCTCTCTGGGCCAGGGATGGAATTTCTGCCCCCCTGCTATAAAATTCCTGAAAAAAATTAAAAATAGAAAATAAAATGCTTGTTGGAGGAGAAGGGGTTTCTTCCCCCCCCCCCCCCTCCCAATCCTGTCTCTGACCCTCTTAGATAGAGACAAATGCATAGTCTCATCCACTGTGGCAGCACCTTCATATCATGTCAGTCTCTTGCTTGAGCAAAAACATTTTATACCTCTCAACACATCAATAATGTATAGCCAAACCAGATCATGGTTCAGTAACACAGGCAAACCAGCGTTATGTTGAGTTGCATTCTACACTGAATATTCAGAGCTATGCAGCTCCGTGTCCTGATTTATTTACACTATCCAGAATTTAATAATAATCCTTGCATTTGATACAGCGCCTTTCAAGTCAGGATGAGTTCTCAAAGCGCTTCACAGGATTTACTGGGAAGTGGAGTGACTGTGTATTTGTGGGTGAACTCAGCAGCCAATTTGTGCACAGCAATGTCCCACAAACAGCCATGACGTGAATGACCAATTTTATATGGGGATTGTTGGCCAAGACACTGATGTTTAACATCCACCTGAACAGGCCAAGGCCACCTCATACAAAGTTCAGCACCTTCAACTCCACCCCACCTCCCCAGCACTGCATTAGAGTGCCAGCTTAGAGCATGTGAGATTAGGTTCCAATGTAGGGCTTGAACCCACAACCTTGGGTCCCAGAGGCGAGAGTGCAACCACTGAGCCAGGCTGACACACTGGCTGGCTGACTTTGGCAGACTGCTGTTACAATTAGTTCATCACAATTAATCGCATGCACTTCAGTTCCAGTTCTCGGGACAGCCTGGCTCATTGTCTACTGAGTGCAGAACTGAAGTGAGCAGTGTCTTAGCATGTCAGGCAGCTCTCTACACCCAACAGCTTCTCACCCTGTGAGAGCCACCTGCTACAAGCCCAGCTGTTGGAGCTGCAAATGATCAGCCCGGCTGTGTTTCTACACAAGCTGCCTGGGGGAGGAACACTCTGAATAAGGAAATAGGTATTTTAGAGAACTTTGTTTCATTGGTACGCAAAGACATTTCATTGTCTTAAAAAAAAGTTATTTAAAACTGTGGGTGGGGAGCAAACTCTTATCACAGCTATGCAGAATTGAGCTCAGATGTCCCATGTTCTGTCGTGAGGCTGCCTTTGTCCGTGTGTTGTGTGCTGTGGAAATGGTGCATTCAGCCTCTTGAGACTCCATCTTCTGCTTGACTGCATGTGGTGCATTTAGGTTTTCTTTTTACAGCTTTCTCAGAAAGCAGGAAAAACACGGCTTGTGTGTGCGTGTGTGTGTGTCTGTATGTGTATTCAGCTTGCAATCTGCGAGCATGCAGATCAATGCTGGTTTTCTATTGTGAGGAGAGATTAACCATGTTTTCATCTCTTGACAGTCTGGCAAACGTTGATGAAGTGAAGAGGGACGCTCCAAGTGGGTCAAGTTCTTCTCGAAACTGTATGAGGTCATTGAAAGCTCACCCTCCCCAGTCAGAGCTCCTGTCAGAGCACCCGATTCTCCAGCACACAGAAACTGCAGCCTCCAAGCATGTCGCCCAAACCAGCGCAAACCCAAAACCGCACTCCACCAACGGGCTGATCACACCGCTCTCAATGGACCGCCAGCAAAAGAGCAACACAGATGCCGGAGTCTCTGAAGTGGATTCATTCACAGAGAGCAGTAGGCCAAACGGGAAGGCTGAGCCCACTACCTCAGACCTGCCGCTGTCCAGAAAACTACAGAGTTTAAGCGAGGATGAACCCGGCGAAGATCAGAGCTCGAACAAGCACGGCTCAAATTCTGCTGTCGAGCAGGTGGCAGATGTATCAAGCTTCCTGGAGAAAGCTCCAAATGAAGGGGTTAAAGATAAGGAAGATGAACGAGAAATGCCTGCAGAAAGGAAGGTGAGTGTTCTTTCAGGACACGACTGCCGAGGCACTCCTGTTAAATTCACAACATGAGAACAAAAGAGTGGATGGAAGTGTTTCATAAACAGTCTGGTGTTACCAGTGTGTTACTGTGTGTGATGCACAGTATGTTTGTGTGACGTGTGTGTATGTATGTGTTTGTCTGTGGTGCATGTGTGTGTTTATTGTACTACTTTCTATCTTTTTCAAAAATTAAAAAATTATGTAATTTTGTATTATACAACTGACAAATTACACTTGATAATGCTTTGATCTGCCTTTAGAAACTCCAGTTTCTAAACACAGTGTTTTTAAAATCCATGTTGACCTGCGTCAACAAAGTGCTTTCGACCGGGACTGTCCATAGAATGGGTAGGACGGTTGATCAACAAGAGGCCAGTCTTTCGAATAAGGCTCAGCACCCAAGGGACATTTCTACATTCCTTGTGCGTTTTAAATCCATTACTTACACCAGCTACAGACTAAGACTTCAGGAACACATATAGCACCTCGCTTGCTGGAACCTAACTGCAATCTGCTCCTTTTTATGTTTTACTCTCGACTGTGATAGTTTTTAGTGGCAGTTTAACTGCCAGTTTACTGTAGCAGAAACATTGCAACATTCATGACAGTTAGCAATGCTCAAGGATGTGCTGCTCTGACTGATCGTTTGCCTGGCAGAAGCTACTTCTTTTTATTTAATATGCCACAATTCACAGTCTTCAGAATTAAAATCAACACAGAAATCTCTGGAAATGCACAGCAGAGCAGTCAGTTTGTGAAAGTCCACAGCTCAACTGGATGAGATGAGCTGGGAGTGAGCAATAAGTTGCATTTATATCACTGTTTTTAGTAAAACAATATCTGATGTTCTTGACTGATGTATTGGTGGACACTACTGAGAGGAAGGAGAGATTAAACTATTTAAAGGGCAATGGTAGGATCAAATAGATATATGTTTGCGATGATTTTGAAGGCCAGATGGAATGTTTTGTAAGGCAGTGAATTTGGAAGAGTGTGTACTGAGAACAGGGACACTGAGGCAGAAGAGACAGGGTGGACTAGAGAGTGTTGAGTAAGATTGCAGGGTTGGTTAACTTCAGAGACTGTGTCGTCCCCAGAGAAATAAGAGATGACATGCTCTCCAAACAAAATAAGTCGGACTTGTACTTTGTTATAGTTTACACAGGGTACAGATCCACATGATATAAATGTTACAAACCCGACTGATCCTCAAAGGGAGAAAATCTGATTTACTGTGAGATTGTACTTGTGATGTGCAAATTGAACTTTGCAGATTATATGTTCCTCTGATTTTGCGCTCATCTGATGAGAACAAACAACCTTGCATGAAGGTGCAATTTTAATTAGGATTTCACAGTCATTTAAATCTACTAATCCTGCACACATTTACAGCATGGCCATATTACTGCAACAACATGCAAGAACCTCATACGAGCCAAGGATTTATTGCTGCATCTGTCAGCTAATGTGAAGGGGGATGTGGGGGAAGAGAACTGACCAGATGAGAGACCAGGTTTTTTGGTTTACCTCCAAAAAACAGTCACTCCACTCCTGTGAAGCTTTGAGACACCTTCCCAACGTGAAAGGTGCTGTCTCAAATGCAATGATTATTATAATTACCCTATAATATGGCAAATGTGGTCAACCTAACTGAGGCACATTATACTCGTCAAAGTGCTACCCACCCTACAATGACGAGGGAATACAATCAGGGATGTCGGAAGAGGAGGAGATGCAGGGACCCATAAGGAAACATGTGCAGATCATTTGGGCTTTATAAGATTGGGCACTGCAATGAGTATTGCACCTTTGATGTGTGCTGTTATCAATTAACGGAGCTTGCCGAAAGCTACATGTCTTGAACATTTTAAAATGATGTAAACAAACCACTCCTTTAAAAATAATTAAAGCAATTATTGTGATGCGCCCACCCCTTTAGGAAAATAACAGTCCTCATGCCTGGAAAGACATTTGCCCTTTCAGTCCTCTCTCCACACCCAATTTTTGTGCTGAAAGCGTTGACACACACACCGGGTATTGTTTCACAGGGAGCGGAGAGCCTTGGTATCTCGCCCAAGTGGTTCTTGTCTTTGCCTGACCCTGGACTGTGAGTGGGAGGGAAATGCTGACCAATTCTATCTCTATCCTTAGACAAGAATAACAACTTGCATTTATATAACACCCTTCACGCGGGGTAGGGTCCCAGAGCCTACTGTTCATCCTGTACATCAGTCAGTTATTGCAGCTTCACCTAAGCACCTTCTTTTCTTTGCAGGAGACGAATGAGGACAAATTGTACAAGATTGCGAATGAGCTTTTGCTAACTGAAAAGGCGTACGTTAGCAGACTTCACCTCTTGGACAAGGTTAGTGAGACATTCATTAACCCCCTCCTCCTTTCTTCCCTTGGATTTTAACCATTGCAACTCTAGTGGTTATATTGGGGTCTAGCCCTGCGGTGACTATGTGTACATCCCAGGATGTAAACAGCCTCTCCAAGGAATCCCATGTAGACCGTGCAGAGTCCAGAGACTTTGGATTGTAAATCGGATCTCAATGGATACAACCACTGGAGCACCTTTTAGACCCCGATGGTTTGTTTGGAAGTAAAGGATTTTGATATTCTGGGACTCCACTTTGGTGGTTTTGGAAGAGATTGTCAGCAACTTTAAAAAGTGTTTGGTGGTCAAAGGAATTTGAAGCAGAATCAGTGTGTGGTAGTTTATTGTGCATGGACTGTGGAAGGAGTGTTGTGATTTTATGCTTTCCGACTAGAGACCGTAAGAGGTGGGTAATGGACAGAGGTAAAGGAGAGAGGATAAAGGCAGAGGTGGGGTCTTTCAAAACACATTGCAAGCACACATACACATATAATTTTTAGAGCACTGTTAGGAGGGGAGCAACTAGCAGTTGCCTAGTATAACATTGCAAAAGGAGTGGTATGTTATTTGGCAGATCTTCAGAGGGAAAAACTGACAAGGACAGTGAGGAGAAAGTCTTCAGTGCAGAAATGTATTAAATGCAATACATTTCCTAAACTCTAACCTTTTAATGCAATATTTATTAAAATATTCTTTCCTTGTTTCATGGCAAAAGCAGCGCAAGAAGTCTTTGGCAAAGAGGAAATGGATTCCGCAGGTCACGGCTGCCTTCAATTACTAATAATGTTGAGTGCACAAATAGGAGATGATTCTGTACATATAAGTGATAGGAGGTTGTTTACACTGATGATCTGTTGGATTTCTTGGTTATGTCGCTCAATGGAGTCCTGTAGCTCAGTGGTTAGAGCACTCGCTTTGCAAGCGAGAGACCTGAGTTCAATTCCAGGCAGGGCGAAACCTTGGGCAAGTTTCCTTACTCCACACACCTAATAATAATCCCTCCAAACCCAAAAAAAACAATAATAAATTGGTCATTTTCAATCTACGACTGTTTGTGGGACATTGCTGTGCGCAATTGGCTGCCGCGTTCGCCCACAAATATACAGTCAATTCACTTTACAGTGTGTTCTGTGAAGCGCTTTGGGACGTCCTCCCGACGTGAAAAGCGCTATATCAAATGCAAGGATTATTATTATAATGAGGCAGTGCATAAATGTTGTGAAATGAGACAAAAGATAGACCTAACGGAAAGCTGTCTGAATTCTCTCCACTTGACACAAGAGGATAAATTGTTCCTCCAAAGGACAGTGTGCTTCCCCTACTGAATACGTGTTTCACACAGCTATACTCATCATGTTTTCTCTGTGGGGTAGGGGCGAGTGGCTAAGATCAAGGTCAATTGAATATGGATTCTAGGGGCAGTGACCGTAGAACCTTCCGTAAGACATAGAGTGAGACGTCCCTCTTACTCTGAGTGCAGTGGCTCTGACGTGCTGCTTTGTGTGGTCTGTGTGGTCTGACTGGAGAGAATGGGTTTGAATGTCGCCTTGTACTCACCATGAAACAACTTTTTTTGTTCATAGAAACAGTAGACAATTTCTTAAATACCAAAATAAATTTAAGATTTGTAACAGATAAATTGTTGAAATCCCACATTTGCCATTTCAGCACTCAGTGCAACAAAGTAGCTCTAAACCCCAGCTTGTTTCTAACCTCTTTAACTAATTCCTTTCAAGATATTTTACATTTAAAAGAACCTTTGGGTTGCTAGTGACCAGTGCAGGCCCTTGCCCGTCAATGGTGAAAACTAAAAACACCCGTTTTATGGTGTGGTTGGATGTTGCTAAAGATGAATGTTTGTATTATTCTGTGTGCAAACAGAATTATTTTATAACAAATTACAAGTGCTGAAATTGCTATTTAATTTGATCTTTGGTTGCAGGTTTTCTATTTAAAACTGATGGAGGAAGCTAACAGCAAGACCTCCTTCCCTGCTGAGGTGGTGAATAAAATCTTCTCCAACATCAGCTCCATCTACACCTTCCACAGCCAGTTTGTGCTGCCAGAGCTGGAAACACGCATGAATCTGTGGTGAGTCATTTGTCATTTGTCTCATTCAATGTGTGTTGAGAACTGATTCAACTTCCACCTACTGTATCAACAATGTTAAAGACCCTCTTGATGTCTGAAAATATTCACTTTGAATAATTTACTCGAAAAAATTACCCTTCATTGAATGTGTTCTGCAGGAAAACCATCCAGTTGATTTTTAAGTGCTTCCAACGCCTTGGGACGTTCTCCCGACGTGAAAGGCGCTGCACAAATGTAATCTTGTTATTGTTGTTCTCCTGCTTCTATTTCTTGAAGTGCTGTTAGCTTTTATTTCAGAACTGAGCATCTTTTTTGTCACAAAGACATTTCCTTACTGTGTGTTACTGAGCAAGCAGAAAACTGGAAACTCCTGTCGATAATATTGTTGCTTATTTTCATTCAGTATGGTTTTAGTTAAGCTGAGTGTTTATTTATAACACTGGACTGCTACCAATAGTTCCATAACTCATTCATTTTACTTTTATGTGTTATATTAACAGCCTCTTGATAGGATGCATTTGTGTTATTTAAATGGTACCTTGTATGCTATAACAGCTGTGTGTTTGAACGGTAAGTTACACATCCGGAATCCCACAGTGGCCCACATTTAGAAATTGCAAATATGACCAGTTCTTTGATCCAACTTATTACTAATGACACCAAGCATGGGCTTTATGTATGTGTAGAGCGTGGCACAAGTCAGCACTACAATTGAGGGTTGAGCTGACGCCAATAAGTGCTGATGCAATATGGTGCTAGCCTTGTCTATTGCCGTAGAATTGTAGCAAAACGAAGTGCATTTGCCAAATTCGTTGTTTGTGAAAGATGTTATGTAAGACCGTGTTGTAGTCCGTACGCTGAATTTTACTGTCTTTATAAAAAACACTTTTCCTAGTAACCTTGCTCCCAGCTTCTGATCAATTCTCCATCAAAATAATAATAATCCTGGCATTTGATACAACACTTCACAGAATATACTATAAAGTGGATTGACTGTTTATTTTGTGGGCGAAAAGTGGCAGTCAATTGCACACAGCGGTATCCTGCAAACAGTTGTCGAGTGAGTTACCAAATTATTTGTTTATTAATGTTCCTGAGTAAATGGAAACTGTTTATTTTCCCTGGTCATTGTCAGAAACAAAATCAAGCCCAGATCGGAATGCAATTGTACTGATGTTGGCTGAATAAAAAAAGGCCACTTACAGCCTTTCCTCTTGAGCGTGATTCACACGACTGTGGAGAGAGGACTGAACCAGCACAGTGTCGAGGCATTGCCTCAGGATGAACATATTTTAAATGGCCAGCAGGCTCTGTGGTATCTGGGAGGCCTGCAAGAATTTCCTCAATAAACGTCTGTGTGATATTTCTTCTCTTTGGGAGACACATTTTTCGTGAATGGGTTCATGCAATATCTTTACTGTGAATATGAGAATAATAGACTGTTGGCAAAGGTCACAAGGTGTGAATCTGATGAAAGGGTAATTGCTTTCAATGGCTGAGATCAATGACAATTAGCCTTTGGTCAAAGTCATTCCGGTATTCAGTTTCTCACCAACATCTGCCATGTTCAGACGTGTTTTTATATCACTTGTGCTTCTCTTTGTCCCCTTCACATAGAGTGTGTGGCAGACCTCAGTGGCTTCCACAGCAGAGCAGCAATGATGTACCAAACGTTATTAATAATAAAATCAATAAAAGGAAATGCTCTGACGGCTTGAATTGTTTTGAAATCAGTCAGAGACGATGCTTGTTATGTGTTAATCCCATTAATTCAGCAATAACAACAAAATTACATTTGTAAAGCACCTTTCATGTCGGGAGGACGTCCCAAGGCGCTGAACAGTCGGGGATCAGGATCTGAGCGTGGAGGGTGGGAGGGCAGGGTTGGGATGAGGGAGGGCAGAGAGGTAGGAGGGTGGCTGGAGGAACGGTCGAAAAGGAAGGTTTTGAGTTGTGCCTTGAAGGAGGCAAGGGAAGGAGCAAGGCGAAGAGATTGTGGGATAGAATTCCAAAGGGTGGGGGCAGAGAGGCTGAAAGCCGGGCGGGTCGGGCGGGAGACATGGAGCAGGCCGAAGCTTACTGAACAGAGGGAGCGGACAGGTTGATAGGGGGTTAGCAGGTCAGAGAGGTAGGAGGGGGCAAGGCAGTGGAGGGCCTTGAAAATGAGGACGAGGATTTTGAATTCGATCCTCTGAAGGATGGGGAGCCAGTGGAACCGGGCGAGGGTGGGGCCGATGTGGTCACAGTCTCCAGAGTTAAAGAACCCTGAGATCTGAATTCTCCATTTCTCAGCATATCAGTTGTAACATTGGAAAGTCTCCCTCAGAGTTATTTGTTGTTTCAAGGACTTGACGTTTAAAGATGGTGGTCACCCTTGCGACTCAGAGAATGACAGGTGGTTTATTAAATAACCTTTCTTGTGTATTATAACTCAGTGATTTTATCCAGGTTCCTCTCTGGGTCCTCAATAGCATGCCTCATGCTATGCCCTGGAGACACTGATATCACTGACAGGCAGCCTGATACAGCTCCAGAACCAGCAGTACATAGATTTACATAGCTTGTACAGCATGGAAACAGGCTATTCGGCTCAACTCATCCGTCCCACCACTTACTTCCTCCTAAACCCTTCTATTCCCTTCTCCCTCACGTGTATTGTATTCAAACACATTTTGGCGCAATATGGCCTTAATATTTTTCTCTTTTCCCTTCAGACCTGAATTGTGGCATGGATGAGATCTAAACTCACACTTTGTGGTGCGAGCCTCAGCCAAGGCTTTGTGCTGTAGTTTTGAAGGAATGTTTTCTATAACCATGTTATGATGTGTCTCCTTGCAGGAATACAACACCACAGATTGGGGACATCCTCCAGAAACTGGCCCCATTTCTGAAGATGTATGGCGAGTACGTGAGGAACTTTGAAAAAGCCATGGAGCTGGTGAAGACCTGGATGGACAGGTCACTGCAGTTCAAAGCCATTGTGGAGGACATTCAGGTAAGCAGAGAGCCACGGCGACAGGTATGACAGCCTCTCCTGGAATGTCAAACTCACTGCTTTTTATAAGGAGAAAAAATGTTCTATTGGATATATGCCTCACCAGAAGCAGGTTTTATTATGTGTTGAAGCTGGTTTCCATATGCGCAAATTGGTTGTCGCATTTGCCCACAAAAGGCACAGTGACTCCACTTTACAGAATAACCTGTGAAGCGCTTTAGGAGGTCCTCCTGACGTGATGCACAATAATACTAAATGTAAGGATGATTATTATATTCTGTATGGCCTCTGTTCACACATACAATCTCACTGATACGAGGTGTGACCGAGTCTCAGATGCTGAGAAATGAAGAATTCAGATCTCAGGGTTCTTTAACTCCGGAGACAATGACGTAGTGCTTCCAAATCCTTCATTTTCATTACTCGGTTCATCCTTCCTCTTGCGTTTTGCACAATGTGACCCTTTGTTACTGCACATAGATTTAGAAATCCTCACTATACAACAAATAACATGCAATGCCCTAATGTACATAGCAGTTAGTTGAATGGAATAACATGTCTGTTGTATGAAAGAATTGCTGATAGTTTTGATGGCTGGGAATGTGTTATACCCTAGTAACACATGGCTGTTGATATATCAAGGATACTGAGAGATTTGACAAACTATTATCTCTGCTGTCTGTGGTGTGATCCATGATCGGTTGGATTAATCAGTGTGAATGAATAAATGATGTAGCAGTGTTTAACACTGAGCATTTAATGCTGTATTTCTGGACTTGTGTTTGGCCCTGTGTCATGTTACCCGGTAAGCACCAGCACTCGGTATGTATGTGTGATGATGTTTTGTGCGTTCCTCAGAAACAAGAGGCGTGTGGGAACCTTACACTGCAGCACCACATGCTGGAGCCCATCCAGAGAGTCCCTCGCTACGAGCTACTCCTCAAAGATTACTTGAAGAAACTGCCACAGGACTCTTCAGACAGAAAGGACACAGAGAGTAAGGGAGACCTCTGAATGAATTTAAAACCTGGCTATCACAAGTGGTCAGGTGTTGATCTGATTTAATGGTCAGAAAAGACATTTGCGTATTTGTGCAAAATTTAATATGGAAATCGTAAGCAATTTTATATTTAAAGAAGTTGCTCTTCACACACAATTTTTCAACGAGGATGATTGCACTAGTTTAGGAAGAGGTACAATGGAGCAACTCTGTAACTGCATGGCTTGCAGATTGGGCAGGTTAGATTGGAAATAAAATGGCAAATGTAGAAGAATAGGTAAGACAGAAAGGCTGATTCCACTCATTCAATTGCTTCTGCGTGAAGGGCAGTGCTGCAGGCAGCTTGGGTTGGGTGCAGCTCTCTCCACCAGACTCACTGCTCCATCTTGTGGCCTGGTCAAAGTTGTGCACATGAGACTAGTTGATGAGGGAGTGCCAGGCCGGCAATGTTCAAAGTCTTTGGTTTGGAAAGCAGGAAATTGTCACTTTGCAAGTGAGAGTGTTATCACTGGGGCTTCTACCTGGAAACAAAAACTGCAGTGAAAGTTGTAAACGTTTAGGAATGAATGTGAAGGAAAGTCAATGTGCAGTTTCTGCATTTTATTTCATAGCTGAGTGCCTGACACAATCAGAAACCCATCACCTAGCTTATCCAAACTAGACTGGTAGTTCCACATTTGTATGCCACCTAACACAGAAATTTCCCTGTGTCTGAAATGGAATGCGCACTCTCTCCCCGGAGGGATGCACCCTGCTTATCTAATACCAGAGAATATTAGGCTCAGGTTGACGAGAGCCAAGGCTTGGGGACCTCAGATTGTGCTTTAAAATATTATGAAAATCTCTATCTTATTGAAACTTTTTTTCCAGAGTCCCTTGAAATAATTTCCACAGCAGCCACCCACTCCAACGCTGCAATCCGTATAATGGTGAGTATGAATTTTAAGCTCCAGGTCAGGTCCCCTGATACATAGTCAGGAGTAAAGTCAGACTGCGTGAAAATAGTTGCCAGTAATTTATATAAAAAACTACATTTTTGAGCACAAAAATGACTCATGTCCTATCAAATGGATCAGTCACGGTGAGCATTAGACAGCTCATTGTTGTATTTTACTGCACAGGCAACTAAGGAACAAGAAACATGTCACCATCAGTGCCTGACAGTGGGAAGTTTGCTTGTTGGTCCTTTCAGGCAATCCCATTGACTGCATTTGTAGGTTAAGCAATGGTGGCAAAGAAAGGGCTGGTTTAGTAATGTCTCTGAGGATTAATTTGTGCAGGAGACATCTCGCAGTAACCCAATTTCTCTGATAAATTATTCATGTCTAGGGACTATCATTCTGCTTATTATTGCTTGCGTATTGAACTTCCAAGTACCTGACCAACTCAAGGTCTGACAGCAATGTGCATCATAGATCATGTCTCTGAATAGCAGGATCTTTGTAAAAACTCTGTCTATGATAATGGTCTTATACAAAGCAATTCTGGTAACTATTCCTCTTTGAATATGGATATTTTAAGTGTTCTATAACAGGATGATATGACCCTCCAGTGAATAATACATTTCTGCAGGTTCACCTACAAAATACAGGAAATCCTGTGAAGTGTTTTGAGATATCTTCCTGACATGAAAAGCACTATTATTAAATGTAAGGATCATTGTTATAATAATAATAATCCTTGCATTATGTTGATCAGACATCCTAATGGCAGTGCTTTCTCAGTGAGGGTCATTGAACTCATCAGCTCACCTGACCCCATCCTTCCTGAACACCCATCCTACTGTCCACCTATCACAACATCAAGCTGTTTATTAAACAAGTCTAGTGTTCTGCCTTTAACCATCGTCCTGGCATTCTGTTCCAGTCATTATTTACCCTGTGGATAAAGAAAAACTTCCTGATGTTGTCATGAAATTGCCCTTTGCCCTCTCGTTCGACTGTCTTGGTGTATCTTAAAGTATTGTTTTGAATTTACTCTTTCAATCCCATTTAAAATTGTATACACCTCTATAAGTCTCCTGTGACATATCTTGTCTCTGAAGAGTCCTAGCTTGTCTAATTGTTGCTTGTAGCTCATTCCTTTAACACTGGACGTTAGTACTGCCACTAATCTAGTGCTGACTGGACCATTTTCCCATTATGGGTACTGAATTTTGGAATCAAGCGCCCTTGAGTCAGCTAAAATCATCTAATATAAGGTGCATTAAATTGAATACTTATTTATACTAACCACTATCTTGGCTCTACAGTGATGAAGTATGTGAGTGAGAATAAGAAAAGGCGATTCTAAGCTCTCTTTTTGCCACAACCCCACAGCGCTCCGTCTCCTCTTTCTCCAGAAACCTGATGAAGGAGGAGAGAACTTGAACCCAGGAAGGGAACTCTAGATTGAAAGAAGGTGTGCTGATGTAGCAATAGGCTGAATAATACCATTCAATAGTACCTTTATATCTCTGATTAGGAGAAGATGAAGATATTGATTGACGTATATGAAATGTTGGGAGGTGAAGAAGAAGACATTGTGAATCCCTCAAATGAACTAATAAAAGAGGGGCAAATTCTCAAACTGGCTGCTCGCAACAGTTCATCCCAGGAAAGATACCTGTTCTTGGTAAGTAGTGGCTGAATTGACAGAGGTCTGTGGTTGTCCATTCTGGTTTAATTACTCTCTCAGGTGAAGGATGAGGAGGGATGCCTTGCTTGAGAAACTATGGAAAACAGGTAGAGTTCTTTCGGCTGTTCTTGGACAAAAGGACTGAGATTGGGAGCAGTACCTGCCAGCACCCATACTGGTGGCCTGTTGGTTCAGGAGTTGCACTTGCTCATCTGTAAGATACAATGCCAACAGCGGGCAAGGGGCAAATTCACTTTATTTTAAGTGTAAATTTAACATTAGCCTAAAAACTACACAGTCTCTACACTTTACACTCGGTCCTGTGAAGAGTTTTGAGGCATCCTCCTGATGTGAAAGGCGCTGATATCAAATGTAACAATCATTATATTGTTGTTTAACATCAGGAGTTGGTAGGACAGCAAAACACTCATCATTTGTGGCTCCTCCTTGCGATCTATAAATGGCATTTTCCTTCCCTGACTCGCTCTCAATTTCATCTCTTAAACCAGATCCCTTAGATATGTTTACACCTGTTTATCTCCGTGTTATCAACAGAGAAAAACAATTATAACCCATTGGATCTGATTCTGTAATTATAAAGAGGCAGATGCACCACATGTTCTGTTCTGCTGATTTGTGACGCATGGGTTCATTGTTCAATCTGACCACAAATATGTTGTGTGCCCTCAATGTATCTTTTTTAAATCTTAAAGGTAAAACATCTTAAAGGTACCCCTCATACACACAAACACACACATTCAGTTATGTAGAAACTGATTTTTTTCCAAATATTCATTGCTTTCTTTACAGTTGAACAACATGTTGCTGTACTGCGTACCAAAGTTCTCTTTGGTGGGGACCCGATATACTGTCCGGACAAAGATCGGCATTGAGGGGATGCAGGTCTGTTATTTTCCTCTCCAACAGTGACTGCACTTCATTTACTCGTTGTTAGTTCTGTCACCTGAACATATTCTGTCTGTTCTGTTGAATTTTAGGTCAATGAGACTCACAACAAAGACTATCCAAACACCTTCCAGGTCTCTGGAAAGGAACGAATACTAGAGCTGCAGGCGAGGTAAGAGAAAACATGCTCCTGTACTGTGTCATTGTAGATACAATCACAATTTGTGTGCTGTCCTTGTCTAGGCAAAATCTTACACTGTCTCTCATTGACACGGTATGTGTGGTCCTATGGTAGATATATTCACACGCTGTGTGTTTTCCTATCACAGACATTCACACACTGTTGTACCATTGATGTCAAGTCTATTTCTTAACTCTTGTAGACTCTGTTACATTTATATTCACCATTTTATGACATTTTCATCCTTCGTGACACGACATTTATTATTATAAAATCCATACAATTTCAAAGCTCGGCCCATGTTTGTGTTGCTTTTTTTTCCATTCTAGTCACCTAAAAACATCTGGAATTCTCTCTGGCATTATCTCCACTAAATTACATTTGGCCAGTTTATTGTGCAATGACTAATCCTTATATAGCATCATAGAAATTTTGAATCAAAGGAGGCCCACTGCAGTATTTGTCAGGCTTCACTGTCTTTCTGTCTCCCAAAGGATCAACTGCAAGGTCCTCACCCTCATCTATAAACCTTTTTATGTCCTAGCATTTCCCTATGTCTCTGATTGTTTCCTACCCCACTCCTTTCTCACCCCCTCCATGTGAATAACTTGGGCTTGCTGTACATTTTCTGCCCCCTCCACGCCATTATCTGTGGAAAAGACTTCAGAAACTAGACTCCTGCTATTGAGCAGAGTTACACTGGTCAAAGTAGTCTGCTGTCTATTTGCCCAAAGTCCTGCTTTCCTCTGAAGAATTTCAGGTAAACAATATCACTACCAACTTTGGCTCCCTGTAGGCAGTTCGCACCCAGTGACATCCTCAAACTGGTATGTGGTTTCCAGTATAAAAGTGATGTAATGACTTCAAATATCACTATGGTTCATTGATTTCCCAGCTGACTCAGGGTCTACAAGACCAGATGAGAGCTTTAGATCAAGAACATTATATGAACAATAAACTCTACCATCTTCCCATTACAGCATCATGTTGTCTCCTGAATGAGTTCAGTGCCATGGCCTCAACTATCCTTCCTGTAGCCTTCTGTTTCTCCTGTTGATCACTCCCAAGCAAGGGTGTGTGTGTGGGGGGGGCAGGGTGGTGGTGGGGGGGGCGGCGGGATGGAGGACGATGGCAGAGATAATAAAGGTGGTCGGGATAAGTAGAAATAAAAAGCAAAGTGCTGCTGCTGGAAACATGAAGGAGATACAAAGAGGCAGGAAAGTGGCCTGCTCAGCATAATGTGTTGTATATTGTTTGTATTATCTGTTCAAATGCTGTCAATTATGCTCTTAAGGATTTTCTATAACCTTGTCAATATCTAACTGCTGCTTCTATAAAGTATGGGCAGGCTGGGAATCAGTGACTGAACAGGCTGGTCTCTGAATATCACAGCCTTGGCTCCATCTGCTGGCTTTCAAAAGCACCTGTAGTCATTTGCAAATATTGCACTGAGAAGAAGGCTGTAGAAGAAAATAATAAGAATAATATTTAAAATATGTAAAACATTTATCGGAAACTAACATTTTTACACATAGACCTCTTCTTGGAGGAGACACATCTACGACCCTTCCCCCGAGAGGGAGGGTTGTTAATATTGTTACTAACTGTTACTATTAATACAAATCAACTGTGTGTGCAATCTCACAGACGGAGAACAGCACAGCTAAAAGATACTGATAGAGAGTGTAGTTGTTGTCAGATTCACTGAGTAACATGTCACCAGCTGGGGAACATTCCAAGTGGATCCTGTAGCTCAGTCATTAGAGCACTCGCCTTGCAAGCGAGAGGCCTGGGTTCGATTCCCAGCAGGGCAAAACCTTGGAACATGCCTGATAATAATCCCTCAAGAAAAAAATTATAAATTGGTCATTTCAATCCACGACTGTTTGTGGGACACTGCTGTGCGCAATTGGCTGCTGCGATTTGCCCACAAATATAGAACCAATTCACTTTACAGTATATTTTGTGAAGCGCTTTGAAATGTCTAGAAAACGTGAAAAGCGCTACATCAAATGCAAGGATTATTATTATTATTACTCATGACCTTTTCCTTTTATTACAGTTCTGAGCAGGACAAAGAGGAGTGGATAAAGGTAAGGGTTGAGCATCCCCACTGTTGCATTCTGTACTGTGTCCTGTTGTTGCTGACTTCTGATTGCCAGCTTCAGTTTCAGAGATAAGGTGCTCTATTCTGCAGTGCTCTTCTCTGCCTTACGCTCAGAAGATCACATGATAACAGGTTTGGATGAAGAAGGATCCTTTGCCCCCATTTGATCTTGACCTTCCAGAACACCCACCCAATATCTCCCCATCACAGCACCAAACAGCTTTTAAGACATGTCCAGTGCCCTGGCCATAATCACTCTTCCTGGAATTTGTTCCACTCATGAATTTCCCCCTGCCCTATACAGCCACTAGGAACAACACACCAATATTAATCCAGTGACCTATTAGGAGCGCAGTGACTAAATGATCAAACATGGCAACGGAGAATGCCAAATTAAATTTTTTTGTAACTCTTTCCATCCCATCTGAGGCCCAAAATTCTAAGTCTAAAACTCTTAGCTTTTAAGGTGACAGAAATGTGGAAACATTTTAAATTCAGTCTTTTTGGATTCGGTTTCTTTTCAACATTTGGGCAATTTTCCTTACTCCACACGCCTCTGTAAGTAGGGACCTGGTTGTTAGTCGATTAGTGGATCACTTTTCGGGGGATAATAATTCCTTCAAAAAATAATAATAAATTGGTTACTCAATCCATGACTGTTTGTGGGACACTGCTGAGTGCAATCTGTTGCCGCATTTTGCCCACAAAATATACAGTCAATTCACTTTACAGTATATTCTGTGAAGCGCTTTGAGCCGTCTGGAAGACGTGATAAGTTGCTATATCAAATGCAAGGATTATTATTTTATATGCTTATATTTGTTTGTAAAAGATGATCGCTGAAAATGCACTTGAGTGCCACACAAAGCGCTCCGAGATACCGTCTGCCATGAAGGACACTATATAAATGCAAGTTGTGGTTGGTTTGTTTGTCTGTTTGTCCACACTATGTGGTGTGTTTGTCAACTGGCTGATCAAGGGGGCAGGGAGAGAGACAGAGGTGACCTGACGTAGATACTTGTGTCTTGCTCTGTGCTTCAGTCTATTGTCCTGAGCTTTCAGAATAATTATTCCATATCCTTTTCTTATCAGGCTTTAAGGAACATTATAAAAGATTTCAATCTGAAGAATGAGACTTTCGGAATAGTGAAGGAAAAGGAGGAGCAGGTCTCGGTAGGTTTACTGTCTTTCGTCTCTATAATATACCTAATCAGGTGGACATTAATGAAAACAGAAGAGAGTTTCTCCTGGTGTTCTGGCCAACAATCCCCCAAATAAAATCAGTCACTCACTCCATGGCTGTTTGTGGGACATTGCTGTACACAAATTGGCTGCTGTGTTTGCCCACAAAGCACACAGTCACTCCACTTTACAGTAAATGCCGTGAAGCACTCTGGGATCAATGGAATATGGGCTTCAACTGTGATTGATAAGTGATTGATAACAATGGGTTTTGTGAAACCCGATGACTTTATAACCCTGGTTTGTATCTGTACTTTCAGCTCATCAGTGTGATACTTTAGTAATACTAACACTGGGGAACATCCTCATTGCTCCCCTTTGCACGACCTCCAAGGCCAAGTCAGCTCCCTTATGTCACAGTGACGAGAAGTATACACAGAACTCTTTAGGTGCGGTTTGACCAGAACATTAGTTTCGGTATAATATCTGGGGATGAAAACTCAACTGATGTAGCAATTTTGCACATGTATCCTCTTTGCCATGTTCATTGCTTCCTCACACCCTTTTGGCAATGAGTGAATCTCTTTAACTTCTCCTTGGCAATACTCCAGCTCACACATGGAATACGTGTGTTTCCTATTCTTACTTCCTATATTGTAGTACCTTGCATTTATCTGTATTATACTTATTGTGCCAATTATCAGCCCATGTGCATACACAATCAGGCACTCTTTGGAAGACCTTGCTACTTCCGCTGATTCCAGTTTCCCCAACTTGGTATCAATGCTTTGATACAGCCACCCAACGTGCTATGTAAATGCAATTTATTATTGTTGTTATCGCCACATTTAACTATCTTACACTGGGACTACAAATTCAGGTCATTAATGTATACGAGGAAGAGGAGGGGTCTCAGATGATCCCTGATGCACCATGCTTAATATCACCCCCATCTTGATCTTGTACCCCTAACAAAGATCCTTGTCTTTGTTCCCTTCAGCCATGAATCCTAGTCCTTGTTTTGCCGTTGATGCCCAGTTATCACAGTTTGCGAGGGTGTCTTTCGTAAGGCATTTTGTCTGTTTCTTGGAAGTCTAGAAACATTATATAGCTTCCCACAGTCAATTTAGGGCATCAATGAGGTTGGTCATACAAAACCCACCCTCTCTGAATGCATGTTGGTTGTCATTTGATTATTTTTATACAAATACATTTTATATGTGATTCATTCCATCATTTTGTCCAATTATTGAGGTCAGGCTAATGGGTCTTTAATGCCAAATATGCTTCTGTTAGCTTTCTTATGCATGTGTGTGTGGAGGGAGGTGGGGAGGGGGAGGAGAGAGGGTAAAACAATGAGCTGAAGCCCACAAGCACAAATCTAGAAGCACTAAATGTTCTAGTGCTAAACTCCTGCAGGAATTACTTAGAAAAATGTGATCCAGGTACCCAGCATACACTGTGTCTGCAATTCCTCAAATATATCTACTCCAACCCTGGTGATTGTGCTAGGCTCGGCACACGGGCTGGGGTTCGAGACGCAGGTTTGTGTCAGTAATCAATTGAAACTAAAGAGATCGATCGTCACAGGCACTATTTTATGATTGCACTATCAAGCTGACTCTTTTTTAACAGTTTTTCTCTCATCTCTCCTACTCCAAAGACGGCTGAACTAGGAAGGAGAGCGCCCAGATGGATTCGTGATAACGAAGTTACTTTATGCATGAAATGCAAAGAGCCTTTCAACGCATTGACCAGGCGAAGACACCACTGCCGGGCATGTGGATATGTAAGTCGAGCAGACTGTGCTGGGTGTGTAAGTGGAGCAGACAGTATTGAGTGTGTGGGTGTGTAAGTGGAATAGACAGTGCTGGGTGTGTGGGTGTGTATGTAGAGTAGACAGTGCTGGTGTGTATGTGGAGTAGATAGTGCCCATTGCTTATTCTATAACATTACTTATTTTCTTCCCCACATCCAAGCCATGACCCGCTCTGCCTTCCCTCACTTCCGTAACATCGCCCGACTCCGTCACTACCTCACCCCTCAGGCTCTGAAACTCTTGTTCATGCCTTCACCACCTCCAGGCTCAACTATGTAAACGCCCTGCTTGTCGGCCTTTCCAACTCCTCCCTCCACAGGCTGCAGATAATCCAGAACTCTGCAGCCCGTGTCCTCTCCCGCACCAAACTCCACGACTTCATCTCCCCCATTCTCGACTGACTCCATTGGCTCCCTATCCTTCAGAGGATCCAGTTCAAGATCCTGGTCCTCACCTACAAAGTCCTCCATGGCCTCGCCCCACTCTGTGACCTCCTAACCCCCTACCAACCCACCCGCTCCCTCCGCTCAGTCAGCTCCGGCCTGCTCCAAGTCTCCCAACCCACCCGCCCCACCATTGGGGGGAGAGCCTTCAGCCACTTTGCCCCCAACCTCTGCAATTCCATCCCCCAATCACTCCAACTCGCACCCTCCTTAGCCTCCTTCAAGTCCCACCTCAAGATCCTTCTCTTCGACCATGCCATTGGACAACCCCCTTCTCCTCCCCCGACCCCAGCTCGGGTCTGAAATGCTGTACGCTGTCCAGCGCCTTGGGACGTCCTCCCGACTTGAAGGGCGCTATACAAATGTAATCTTGTTGTTGTTGTATAACAAGTTTTCTATCTTGCTTTTCTCTCTTGAAGGTTGTGTGCTGGAAGTGTTCTGAATACAAAGCCACCCTTGCCTATGACAGCAACAAACTCAGTAAAGTGTGTAAAGACTGTTATGTAATAATAACAGGAAAAACTGACAGCGAGGAGAAGGAGGAAAAGAAACGGAAAGGAGTCATGGAGGTAGGAGGAGTGTTGCTGCTATATTATGTGTGTGCGTGCATATGTGCATGTACACATGTCATGTGCGACCATATATACATGTACATATGTATCTGGCCATGTGTGTTTGTGTGTGAATGTTCTATGTTAATGTGTGCGACTGTATGTGTGTACATGCATGCATGTCTGTGTGTGTGTGTGGTCTGTCTGTGCATGTATGTATGAATGCGCCTTGGGACGTCTTCCCGACGTCAAAAATGCTTATATAAATGCAATTTGTAATTGGTCTTATTGTTGTTGCATACAAGCATGTGTGTGTATATGCATGTGAGTGTGTGCATGGTGTGTGTTTGTAGTCTGTGCTTGTATGTGTGCGCGTTTGTGTCTGTAGGAGTTAGGGATGGACTAGAAACATTGATTTTGTGGTGAAGGGTCAGTTTCCTCTTTCTGAACTGTTCGTTTTCTCCCTGTACAGACTGAGGCTGCTGAGGTGTCAGAAAACAGTGTCATCTGTGACTTCCTGCACTACCTGGAGAAAGCCACCAAGCCCTGGCACAAAGTCTGGGGTGTACTTCCCAAGAATGATGCCATGGTTCTGTACCTATACGGAGCTCCCCAGGTACGAACAAAACCCCAGACCTTCAGCTCCTTCGTTGGGTTTGGCTTAGGAAGAGAAACTTGATCAGTAAAGTCTCTAGCCTCAGTTATGTGCACATAAATGGGATTCTCCCGCAAAAGTGGGAAACTTTACTGTCTGTTAGAGTTTCACCCCAAAGTGTCAAAATGTAATACGTCCCCAAGTGACAGGGCTACCAGCTGGGACTCAACAAATGATTGTGACGTACATCTCCCATAGCAGAGAGGTGTAGCGTACAAGCTTGTTACATCTCCCACAGCAGAGAGGTGTGGCGTACGAGCTTGTTACGAGAGACCTGGATTCGATTCCAGGGCAGGGTGAAATGTTGGGCAAGTTTCCTTCCTCCACACGCCTCTGTTTACCTAGCAGTAAGTAGGAACTCGGTTATAAGGCGATTGGTGGATCACTTTCCAGGGGTAATAATTCCTTCAAAAAAATAATAATAAATTGGTCACTTCAATCTATGACTGTTTGTGGGACACTGTTGTGTGCAATTGACTGCTGTGTTTCATCCACAAAATATACAGTCCATTAATTTTACAGTATGTTCTGTGAAGCACTTTGAGGCGTAACGAAAACTTGATAAGGCACTATATCAAATGCAAGGATTATTATTATCTCCCATAGCAGAGTGGTGTGGAGTATTACCTGGTGCCTCTCTCTGGTTGGTTGCTCTGACTGAGGCTGTAAAGGTAGCTCCTACATTTGGAGCTGGGTCTGGTGCTGGCCTCTATCGTCTTCCAGCTGGAGCTGAGCCTCACTTTGTTCCAGTTATAGTGAAGTACAGGACCATTTATGGTGGTAACAGTACAGCCAAGTCTCTAGTCATGGCCGATCTCGAAAGAAACAATTACCCTGTGTTCTGGTTCAGTCCCGTTTCACTGTCACTGGACCTCAGCAACCTCTGGCCGAGGGCTGAATGGAGCCCAGAGCAGGGTGACAGCCGTCTCCACTCTGCTGGTTGTATAGAACCTGAGTGCAATGAGTTAGTACATTTAGAATTACTCCTGATGGTATTCAGGCAGTCACACAAAGCTACTCCCACCTCCATCGTGTAACCATCTGCCTGTTGTGTTTGAAGTGTGTTGGCTGAGGTGCCAGATTGCCTCTGAAATGTAATGAGCGCCTGTTGTCAGACTAATCTCTGGACATCCCTATTCTGACTGATTGGGTTGTTTCCCCCTTCTATCACTCTAGGATGTGAAGGCTCTGACCACAATTCCACTTCTCGGGTACGCAATCGATGAGAACCCCCGGGGTGTGGATGTACCTTACGCCTTCAAGCTGACACAGTCCCGGTTCATATACGTTTTCGCCACGGATTCTGAAGAGCAGAAGCAGCGGTGGCTGCATATCATCAACATGGCTGTGAAGGGAGAAACAGCCACTGAGATGGACCTTCTCGATGAGGCTGCCATCACCCGACAAGGGAGCAGCCAATCTGAGACAGAAGAACCTGCCTACAGCTGACAATAAATAAGCTTCTCCTGACACTTCGAGAACCATTTCTAAAGCATGTTTAGCATTTTCCATGAAATGTATGAACTCAGAAACCCACTCCTCAGTACAAAGTATCCAATGATCACTGTGTCTGTTGCTCTTCTGCAACCAATTTCCTATTGTTCAGAATGGAAACCATCAACCTCAGTTTGCATATAGACACCAATCACCATAAGAAACTCTCCAAAATCCAGTACAAAAGAAAACAGGACATGGATATTGCTTCTCAATGACTGTAAAATCCAGATTATTGCGATTCCTGTTTGCAATTGTCTGGCAGGGATCTGAATGAAGTCCAAAGTAAAGTTCTATCTTTTAGCAGAGACACAAATATATACAACACTCATCATTAAAGGTGCAGTGTTTATTCACTGCCATCTCTGGCTCAGCTACAGTCAAAGGAACCATCAATCTCTGTCCACTCAAGGCTCTTTGATTATCAGCAAATACGTTAATACAGCAGTCAGCATGTAACTTAGCTTAAAAGTAACAAAAAAGAGGTGGGCCTGGAGGTACAGAACTTTGTGGAACTGGACGGACAGAGCTTTGTGGCACTGAGTGAGCTGGATCAATTAATTGATAGAAAGCAACTTCCTATCCCCACCCAACCCCAATTTCCCAATTTCAGCTGAGCTGACTGAAGGGGATGACAAGATTGAAAGTATGCCTAACTCCAGAGGGCAAGCTTGATCTTCATCATACTATTGCTGTACTTGCTCAGATCGTACTTCGACTGCAATCAGTCAGTCCCATTGCTGGCTGCATCGTGCCAAGACAGAGTGTTCAATCAGCTTCTATCAGGAACCATTGCACTTCGCTGCTCCAACCAACCAGTGTTTAAGAAGACTAGTTTATGAACACTCACTTTTTTTTAAAAAAAGGGCAAACAGAGCAGGGTATTAAAACAAGAAGTCCAAAAACCAATGCTATATCACTGAAACGCTTCATAATTTTCTTGATGGGATTATTCCCTAGGTAAGTATCTTGTTACAGGCCAGAGCATTGGGAGCAGAGAATATGTGCTCAGTTCATTGTCAGCCATCAGGAGTTGGGAGTCATGAAGATTGGCTGCGTCTTGCTCTCCCCCCACCAAAATTCAATATTTGACCTTGTGATCTTCAGTTCATCTTCAGTGCTTATAAAACACTCAGCCCTAGCTATGAACAAACACAGCAATTGAGTTTCTATCACTAAATCAAGTATTTTGAAGGTTTGGGTTCTCAGATAACTTATGTTCCTCACTGAATTTATGTAGAATAATATTTCATAGACATTACAGACACAGGCTATTCGGCCCAACAAGTCCATGCTGGTGTTTATACTCTATACAAGCCTCCACCTCGCCTTATCCCATCTCCCATACTCTTCTGTCTTTTCTCTCTCATGTAGAAAAGAATTGAGCAGAACTAATACAATCTGTGATAGATGCCAAGCTAATATGGGGTCTAATTGTTTCTTAATAGAAATCAGACTAGTGCAAAAAATAAGAAATAATAATGATCCTTGCATTTAATATAGCGCTGTATCACCTCATTGTAACGTCTCAAAGCATTTTGCCAAGATTTACTGTGAAGTGTGACTGTGTAACTGTAGGCAAATGTGGCAGTCAATTTGTGCACATCAATGCCCCGTACGCAGCCATGAAGTGAATGCTCATTTAATTTGGGGGATTGTTGGCCAGGACACTGGGAGAAACTTTGTTCTCTTCTCGAAAAATGCAATGGGATGAATGGCCACCCGAACAGGCTGACAGAACCTTGGTTTAACATGTCATCTGAAGGACTGCACCTCTAACAATGCAGTGCTCCCTTGGTAGCATACTGGAGTGTCATCCTCGACTGTGGAGCTCAAGGTCCTAATGTTGGGCTTGAACCGACAACGTTCTGATTCAGAGGTGAGAGTGTTGCAAACTGACACCTGACACCACATAAATAAGAACTCATTCAGCAACTGCACACATGTATTTCTAGAGTGGAGTTCCTGTAAATTGAGGGGAATTCTAATGAGATTCTTTAAGCGATAAGAAAGAATTTTCATTTTTATAGCATCATTACTTCAAAACATCTCAAAGGGTTTCACAGGTATTGCAGTGAAGTGTAGTGACTGTAGTTATGGGTAGATATAGCAGACATTTTGTGCATAGTATGGTCCCACAACCAGCCTAGAACGATCAATTTTATCTAGCAGCTGGGACAGAGAGAAAATTCCCTTCTCTTTGCCCTTCTCTTTGCAAATCATGTCATGGGTTATTTGATATCCACCTGAACTTGCAGATGGAACCTCAGTTTAACATCTCATCTGAAGGATATCACCTCCAACAGTATGATCCCTATCCCCCAAGTACTGCACCAGAGTGTCAGCCAAGACCACAAGGCCTATATGATACTATGAATTAGACCCCATTTGACTGTCTCAGTTATAATGCTCTTTCAGATTGATATGTGAAAATAAACTGACTATTTGATTTCGAAATACTCAAGTGCTGCTACCATGAGAATGGGCTGCCAGCTCAAAAATGGGTTTTGAAATGAAAAGCTCAGGTCTATTCGACTTAGACCAAATGTGATGACTTGGGTTATTCATTGTACCGTAGCCACTTGTCTGAGGGAGGATCAGGTAGGTCACCTCAATACTAATGAACCAGCTTGAGACTAATTGTTGCAAAATTTAGTGTTGACCTTTTACAATAGTCACACTCTTTGCTGGCCATATAGTTGTTGTGGCATGGTCTCAAACTTCCATCTATCTTATCTCCTACCTCCCAGATAGAAGAGCAAGCAGAACAATGTCCAGACCTTCAATAAGCTGATAAGAGGTTTCAGAATGTAGCACTTAACAATGTCCAGCACTGTAGTAAAAACATGTAACACATCAGCACATTTGTTTGAGATTGTCAGTCTGGGAACTTGGGTGCAGTTTTTACCCCTCACTCTCTTTTGTGCAGTGCTGTGTATATAAATAAGAGAAACTACATTTGATTATTTTATCCCATCAGTTTTTTTAAACTTATCCTTCACTCACCGTCTTATCTGAGCTGGCCATTTCAGATCTGCTCATCAAATGCAAAAGATGTTGGTGTTCTACATTAAAATGACCTTTCTATTGGGTGTTCTACAATGCACAATTTACTTTCATTACAATGTTGTAATAATTGCCACTGACTCAGAAAAAAACATCAATATGAACAAGGACATGTTTTAAAAAAACAATAAAGGCTAAATACAGCATTATACACATCAATATTCTACAACAGGCCTGGTGACAAAGAAAACTGAGTGTATATAATCTCAACACACCATACTGCTAATCATTCCACTTTTCTTTTACAAAGCCAAGCAATAGTGACCTGCATTCTATCTTAAACAACTTTATTTAACTTGCTGCCATTATATACTTTGAATTAATCTCAGTTTCTACTTGTAATATGTCATTGATAATGGAGTTATAATCATAAACTAGAATTCATTTGCTGTTTAAGAACTTGTGCATGTCTTGCATTTGATTCCAAAATTGTCAATCAACCTTTTTTTAAAAAAAGAGCAACCTCATGAAGAAAAGTAAATGTTTGATTGGTCTATCAACGACAAATTCATTGAATGTATAATAGTCATCGACTGTATATATTGTTCAGGTTATCGTGTTGAGAAAATGTGTAAATCAAGGCACCTTAATGTATTTGGTTAAAATTTGTATCGTACAAAATAAATGTAATGTAAAATAATCAGATCCACTTATTTTTTCGATTGTTTTATGTTTCTCTCCCTATACATCTCAAACTTTTACACTCCTGTTTGTTTTCAAATCTTCACATGAATTTTGGTTAATAAAATAGTAAGTACATTCAAATATACTGTTTTGCAGCATTGAACTAACCATCAGGATTCCATTACTGTAATGTTCCTGCAAGCAGCAATGCAGTAATTGTTTTCTTCCGTCTTAATATTTTCTCTTGCTTACCGCAAGAGCGCAAATATTTGAATTAACCATGGATCTGACCCTTCCCTTGCAATCAACAACAACAATAACAAAATTACATTTATAGAGTGCCTTTCACATTGGGAGGACGTTCCAAGGTGCTGGACAGTCAGGGTTCAGGACCCGAGCATGGGGAAGGGGTGGGGTGGGGGTGGGAGAAGGCAGAGAGGTGGGAGGGCGATCGAAGGCACGATCGAAGAGGAGGGTCTTGAGATCGGCCTTGAAGGAGGCAAGGGAGGAAACAAGAAGGCAAAGGGACTGTGAGATGGAGTTCCAGAGTGTGGGGGCAGAGAGGCTGAAAGCTCGGCCACTGATGGTAGGGTGGGTTGGGTGGGAGACATGGAGCAGGCTGGAGCCCACTGAACGGAGGGAGCGGGCCGATTGGTAGGGAGTCAGCAAGTCAGAGAGGTAGGAGGGGGCAAGGCCATGGATAGTCTTGAAAGTGAGGATGAGGATCTTGAATTTGATCCTCTGAGGGATGGGGAGCCAGTGGAGTCGGGTGACGATGGGGGTGATAGGGTCACGGAGGCTGGTGTGCGAGAGTACACAAGCTGCAGAGTTTTGGATGATCTGTAGCTTGCGAAGGGAAGAATTGGGAAGGCCGATGAGGAGGCTATTTCCATAATCGAGCCTTGATGTGACAAATGCGTGAGTAAGGATTTTGGCAGCCTGAGGGTTGAGGCAGTGGCGGAGTCTGGCAATGTTGCAAAGGTGGTGGTAGGCAGTGCCGGTCATGGCGCGGATGTGGGGGAGAAAGGACAGTTCAGGGTCAAACAAGACATCTAGGTTCCTGACTGGCTTAGTGAGGTTGAGTATGCAGCTGTGGAGGCTGATGCTGCCAGCGCCTGAGGTTCAGAGGCACTGGTGCGAGCCAATCAGGAGGGCCTTGGTCTTGCTGATGTTGAGTTGGAGAAAGTTGTCCCTTGTCCAGGACTTGATGTCGGAAAGGCAGTCGGTCAGGATGCCAGTAGTCCTGGAGTTGAGTGTGGAGGCAGAGAGATAGAGTTGGGTGTCATCCGCATACATGTGGAAATTTACCCCATGTCTGCGGATAATGTCACCAATGGGGAGCATGTAGAGGGTGAAGAGGACGGGACCGAGGACAGAGCCATGAGGAACGCCGCACGAGACGGTGTGGGGGCTGGAGGAGAGGCCGTTAGTTGAGAGAAATTGGAGGTGGTGTGAAAGGTAGGACCTGAACCAGTCCAGGTCAGAATCTTGGAGGTTGAGGTGGGAGAGGCGGTGGTGGAGGATTGAATGGTCCACAGTGTCAAAAGCGGCGGAGAGGTCGAGGATGACAAGGCAGAGGGAGCCCTGGTCACACATGGTCAGGATGTCATTTGTGACCTTGACCACAGCAGTTTCCCTGCTGTGGGCAGCACCGAAACCCAATTGGAGGGGCTCACGGAGGGAGTGGGTGGAGAGGAAAGAACAAAGCTGAGAGATGACAAAGTCATTCTTCATTCCCCCAAGCCCTGCCCAAAGCTGTGACCCATCAACAACAAACAGTAGCGGGTGCTTTGCACTGACAGTCAGGGTTGCAAAAAATTAGAATACAATACTGTACTTTTGTAGCCCAAAGTCCACCAAATATTCGCCTAAAAGCTATCCCAATATTATGGGCTGTTCCCATGGGAAGCAGAGTGGCCAATTTAGGTTAGTGCTTTTGAAACTGAGTAAGAAAAGGTGTTCAAAGAGGGAAAAGCACGGTTTGCAGGTTTCAATTAAAATTAAAAAAATTAGGCATCCGCCCAAAGCGGGTGGAGTCCTGATTGGACTCCTAATTGGAGTCCTGTAGCTCAGTGGTTAGAGCACTCGCTTTGCAAGTGAGAGACCTGAGTTCATTTCCAGGCAGAGGGCGAAACCTTGGGCAAGTTTCCTTACTCCACACAGAGCCTAATAATAATCCCTCCAAAACAAAACAATAATTAAATTGGTCATTTTCAATCTACGACTGTTTGTGGGACATTGCTGTGCGCAATTGGCTGCCGCGTTCGCCCACAAATATACAGTCAATTCACTTTACAGTGTGTTCTGTGAAGCGCTTTGGGACGTCCTCCCGACGTGAAAAGCGCTATATCAAATGCAAGGATTATTATTATTATTAAAGCCGCGCAGAACAAGAAAACGCGCCCAATTGGGCGTGAACCTGTCCAATCTGGCGACATTGCTGACAGAGGGAGCCCCCCACCCTCGGCCCTGGTGCACGCCGGGACATGGAGATGCTTCCGGGAGTGGTGCACTCCTCCCCTCGGGCTGCGCGCGCTTCTCGTCACGACTCCGTCTCCTGGCGTGGCCCGAGTGCCGTTGCTTCCCGCGCCTGCGCAGTGATGCCGGGCCCGAAGAGCGGACGGCTGATGGCGGCGGAGTGAGTGAGTGAGTGAGGGAGTGAGTGAGCGGTGTCGGCGGCGAGAGGCCTGGTTCAGAGAAGAAGGGACAGTCAGCAGTAGATGCAGGAGGAGCAGCCAGAGGGGAACAGCGGGGAGAAACAATGGAGGCGTTGATACCCGTCATCAACAAACTGCAGGATGTGTTCAACACAGTCGGGGCCGACATCATTCAGCTGCCGCAGATCGTGGTGGTGGGAACCCAGGTACAGAGCCGCAGGGTCAGGGCCCCACACCAGCACCACTCACCCTCACCCCTCACCCCTCACTGACAGCTCTGTGTGTCAGGAGAGGGAGAGGGAGAAGGTGCTGCTTCCAGCTATGGGTCTGTGTCGAGGATCCTCTCAAGAGTGCCACCAATGGTGACCTTGTGATAAGTGTTCCCCAATATTGCTCTTATGTCTTCTCGTGTTGATCTTGCTCCTGTTCTCCCCAATATTGATCTTGTTCCTGTTCTCCCCAATATTGCTCTTGTTCCTGTTCTCCCCAATGTTGATCTTGTTCCTGTTCTCCCCAATGTTGATCTTGTTCCTGTTCTCCCCAATGTTGATCTTGCTCCTGTTCTCCCCAATGTTGATCTTGTTCCTGGTGTCCCCAATGTTGATCTTGTTCCTGGTGTCCCCTCTGTTGAAGTTTTTAATACCAAAAATAATAATAAGTAATCTTGCATTTGATATGGCGCCTTATCACATCGTTGAGACATCTCCAAGCACTTCACAGGATATGCTGTAAAATCGATTTTACAGACGTATTTTGTGGAAAAAAATCTTTTTCGTGTTTGCCTGCAAAATCCATGGTCACTGCACTTTACCGTGAAACTTGTGGAGCATTTCGAAACAAACCCCCTAAAGATGCTATATCAAATGCAAAGATTCTACTCATAATAATATTATTTTGGTTTTGGATTTCTTCAGTGCTGATGCTCAGGGGAAGGTCCTCCTGAACCACAAGCTCATTGTTTGGTGATATGGAAAGGACAAGAATCCTTATGTTGTTTTTGGAATGTCCTGACTCGGGTTTCACATCGCCAATCACAGTGGTATAGCGAACCTGTGGAACAGACTCCCGAGTTTCACTATTCGATCACTGAAATAGTGTTTCCGTAGATTCGTTCCGAATTTACCCCCCTTCAATCGCAGGCCATATCCTCTGGTTTTACTATTCTGGACAAGTTGAAACAGCCCGTCATGATGTATATTGTTTTGCCCCTTTAGAATCTTAAAGACAGCAATCATGTTGCCTCTCAATCTTCTCTTTTCCAGCGTGAACATGCCCAATTTACTTAGTTGCCCCTCATAGTCCAGTCCTTCCATTCCCTCAGTCTTTTTGGTTGCCCTCCTCTGTATTTTCTCGATTTCTCCAATATCCTTTTTGTACTGCGACGACCAGAACTGTACACAGTACGCTAAGTATGGTCTCACCAATAATTTATACAGCGGCAGAATTACCCCACTATTTTGGCTTCCTATTGATTTTTTGATACATCCCAACATCTGGTTTGCTTTACTCACTGCCACAGAGCATTATTGTGAACGCTTCAATTTATTCTCAATCAGGAGCCCCAGGTCCCTTTTCATTTTCCATACATAGCATTTTCCTTCCATTCAAATAATAATCCCTTCCAGGATTGTTTGTCCTCATGTGAAGTACTTTACATTTCTCCATGTTTAATTTCATCTGCCACCGATCAATCCAATTCCCAAGTATGTTCAAATCCTCCTGTAACCTATCTTGTTCAGCTTTGCAATCTACCACCTTCATTAGCTTGGTGTCATTTGCAAACTTAGCCATTGTGATTTTGGCTTCTAGTTCCAGATCATTTGTAAAAATATTATACAAAAGATGTCCCAAAACAGACCCTTGAGGAACTCCACTGGTAACATTGTCCTAGTCTGATGACATTCCCTGTACTATCACACTCTGGGTTTTCCCGGTCAGCCAATTGCGTATCCATTGTAATATACCTCCACTGGTTCCTGCTTTCTTTCTTTTCAGTACCAGCCTCTCAAGAGGAACTGTATCAAAGGCGTTACTGAAATCCAGATATACAACATCCACAGTCTTACCCTTATCAAGCTCCCTTGTCCCACTGTGAAAGAAAACCAGTAAATTAGATTGGCAAGACCATCATATCCTGAACACATATTGGCTATCATTTACGATTTTATTTCTGTCCAGATGCTCCATGATTTTATCCTTAATAAGAGTCTCCATAATTTTACCCACAATGGACGTCAGATAGAGAGAGGTTTTGGAGATATGTGCTTTGCGTTATTGACAGACTGTGGCTCTGTTTGTACATGCTCTAATGCAGATCCTGATCTCACAGTGTCACTTAGCAATGGCTTTAAAAGTGCTAAAAATCCTCACGTTTGATACAGGGTCTTTCAAATATGTTTGTTCAAATCCTCCTGTAACCTATCTTATTCAGGTAGGTAGGAGGTCTTAAAGAGCTTTTCAGGGATATACAGCAAAGTATTGTGACTGTGATTTTGTAGGCAGCCACTTTGCGCACAGCAATGTCCCACAAACAACCATGAAATGAATAACCAATTTTATCTCTCAAGTTTGTTGTCTAGGGTAGCAGGAGAAACTCCCTTCACTTTTCACCTAAACCTTTAACATCTCTTTTAAGGAATGGCACTTCTGATAATGCAGTGCTCCCCCAGCCCTGCACTGGACTGTCAGCCTAACCAATATAAGTTCAGAGCATCTTGTGCTTTCTCCCTGTACCAAACCTTTTGTGTTAAATATTGCTTGAGAAAGAGAAAGGAGGAAACTCTAGTTAAGTACCAGATACTCCTGCTTCAGATGTGCTTCTAGCAGTTTTGGGAGTATCATTAATCCCAGTATTGCAATGCCGTAGAGGAAGCTTGTCTCACTAGTAGGTGTTGGCCTGTTAATGTGGTAAATGTTATTGTTTCATTTGTGAACTTGCTGGTGCTAAGGAAGAGCCTCTCGGTGTTGAGCAAGAGGCAGCGATGTTGGGAAGTCTTTACTGCAAATTTATTCCAATATCCAACCTTTGCCATTGTCCCTTCATCTGTCAAGTACTTGAGTGGGGCTTTGGCTTCAGGTTGTGGTCCTCTCTCACCTTTATAACCATCATGTTACTCTGCTGTACCTGTGCTCGACACATCATCTAAAGATGAAGTAAAGTATAAAAGACAAACTCTGGTACAGTCAGACCCTGTTAGAATAAGTATGGAGTGGCTGTGTCTATGGTCCTGGTGTACCAAGTGTGGTGCATTCTGGCTTCTAGTCCACATTATGCAGGTGTGGCTGGTTCCCTGGTGTCTTAACAGCAGCCACTAGAAATGTTCACAGGTGCAGTTAAGGGTATCATGTCCACATACGCAGCTTACAGAAAGTGATGTCAGGACCTGACAAGCCAGAAGCATTGATCAGTGGCCAATTTAATAATGTGCCTCGTTATAACGAGGGTCTGATTTGATAGCCCCACACCACCATGTTATTGCTCTGACTGACTGACTGACTGACTGTGTAGAAAACTACAAAGCTGTCAGCGATCCTTAGCGATTTTCTGAGTGACTAAACTGTTGGAACCACTTGTGTGAAGTCTGGTCCTGTAATTCATGGGCAGCCATGTTACAATGTTCTGTACAGAGTCAAATTACTGCCCTAATGAATACACAGTCACTACACTTTACAATATATTCGGTGAAGCGCTTTGAGACATCTCAACAATGTGATAAGGCGCTACATCAAACGCAAGAATTATTATTACTGTACTGAGTCATGTTACAGTGTACTGTACTGATGGTTGATGGAGAGAGTAATACGTGTGATTTTTGAGGAGGTTGGGAGTCCCCACATAGCAGCTTCACCCATAGATGTTGATGTTGTAACATCAAAACGTTTTGAGACGTTTTTATGTTTTGTACAAGATGAAATGGAAGGATATTGTATTACTGACCAGCGTCTTTCCCATCTCTTCACAGAGCAGTGGAAAAAGTTCAGTGCTGGAAAGTCTGGTGGGAAGGGACTTGCTCCCCAGAGGCACTGGGATCGTCACTCGGAGACCACTGATCTTACAGCTGGTGAATGTTTCTCCGGATGAAAAGCGGAAAGCAGCTGGAGATGAGAACGGTATGATTCTCCCTGGTGTGTTCGTTATCTTTATGAGACTGTGTGTATGTGTGGGGGTCACTGACCACTGTGAGCATTCTGAGGTCAATGCAGTGGAGTCCGGTGATAATGCCGTAGTTGGAGTTGACCAAATCCCAACCAGTGGTATAACCAGGCGTGATCACCGGTCACTAACTGCACATCCACAGAACGTGATATCAGCAGCAACCTGATAAACGGGACATTTACCTTCCCGTGTCGGCCAGTGTTTTCCGACCACACTAAGTGAGCCTGTGTTATAATGAAATGTGTTTTAACAGGGTTCCACTGCATCACTGTTAACAGGAAGCTATCTGAGAATGAGGTGATATGAAAAAGATCTTGCTCTGATCTCACTGTTTATTAAGATAGGGGGGTGGGGTTTCCAAAACAACAAATGTTGAGAAAATTCTCTTAGGTTTTGTGACTCCAATTAACTGTAAACACAGGTCTGTGCCTGCCAGAGGTTTAGCATGGTGTGAGGCAGGGCAGGGCCAGGGCTGCTCAGCATTGGGAGCCAATGACCTTCAGCATCACATGGGAATTAGTTGAGAGCTGCAAAAAGAACCATTTAATCTGCAATCTGCAGTGATGCAAGAACATTGGCCCAGGAACTGTATCCCGTTCGTTCCTGGGAGAGGAACAAACCCACGATAGTCCTGACAGGGAGATGAGAGTGGCATTGAGAGATCGGCAAGTTACTTTTCCTTGCAGCAACATTGTGTGGATAAAGGAGACTGTTGAGCTGGGGAGGAAACATATTGCACTTCTCTCTCTCTGGGCAATTTCTGTTTTGCTGGACAGTTGCACCCATTTTGGGTCCTGCATCTTTGTTAGAATTTACACTTTTTGTATAATGTTAGAATCATAATAGATGTTGCGAACAAGTTAACTTTTAAGTTAAGTGTGGGGGGCAACTGGACTGACACTCATGATTAACACTCGAGCAACAAAAGGCAACCCTCAAGAATAGCAGCTAATGAGCAAGTTGCTTAAACTAGAGGACCTTGGTACCATCCCGGGATATTGATAAGAAATAACCAGTCACTTAAAAGGAATGTACTAATGATCCCACCTAACAAAATAACAAGCATCAGATAACAGGGGTCTTAAGGACAATGTGTATGTGTACTGAGGCACGTACACCCCATGAGGTGTTCACGTGAACCCAGCATGATTTCGACAGGTGATCTAATGTCCGCACCATGATTGGACGAACATCGGTATAAGAGTTCTGATAACTTTGTGTACGGGGCCGTCCCGGGTCGCCGAGACAGGGATACGGGAGTTGGGGCCGTCCCGGGTCGCGGAGACAAGGATACGGGAAATGGGGCCATCCCGGGCCGCAGAGACAAAGATACGGGAGATGGAAGATTGAGAGCTGGAAACACTAAGACTGAGGATATCAGATGGAAGATTGAAAGCTGTAAGCAAGAAGACTGAAAGCATGAAGAATCAAGCTTGTGTGCTGTAAAGACACAGTGTTGAACTCGAGATGTCTACGGTGGTATTATTCTGTTATAAGATCTGTTGATTGTACCGGCCTTTGGTCCATTGGGATATTGGGGAATAACGAACGAATAATAATAAAACAGTCTGATATCTGGTTAAAGGAATTAGCGTTATTTCCTTACAGATTTGGCTGATTTTATTTTCTAACATCTTGAGAAACAGCTCTTTTACAGTGCATTCATTTCAGATCCTGGGAGTGGATTTCATTGCCTGATGTGGCTGGACTTCCCTTTCTGTTTTCGTTTTGCTGCAGTTTGTCCCTTCATTTCACAGAGACTGTCCTCAGTGTTTTGCCTGCTGCGCACAGGATCCAAAAGATTCCTTCTGGGCAGCAGTCTGCAGTGTTTGTGGAGTCCCGCAGTGTAGTGTATAGTGTGCTGGCCTCGCAAGTGAGAGGACCTGTGTTCATTTTCCAGGTGGGCTAAACCTTTAGGCAAGTTTTCCTACACCGCACGCCTCTGTTTACCTAGCAGTAAGTAGGAATCCAGTTGTTAGTCGATTGGCAGATCACGTTTCTGGTGGTAATAATCCCTTTAAAAAAAATACAGTCAATCCACTTTACAATATATTCTATGAAGCGCTTTGAGATGTCTCAATGATGTGAAAAGGTATTATATCAAATGCAAGGATTATTATTATAAACTGCCACGGTCCAATCTGACAAATGACTTGGATTTCTTGTATATAGACTGGATCTAAAAGGTGCTTCTGGCCAGGACACCACAAGACACTTCCTTCTCTTTCTGACCCTGGGATCTTGAATGTTAACCTGAACAGGCAGACACCTGCTCAGTTAGTGGTTGTCAGTTGGTGCATTCGATGGCCAAATGTTGGCCGATGTTTAATTTCAATGTCAAGCTTTGTTTCTATTGAGAGAACACAAAAGCCATCTGGTTACATTAATCGTCTGTGTGGCTACAATATTTGAATGCAAATGGCTTTGAGTATAAAATTATCACAGTGTAAGTTGTTGAATGGTTTCCTTGGGTTTTTGCACAATGCAATATTTGGCTAATGGGAAGCAAGTGTAAACAGCTTGAAGTAGAGTATGGACTTTCCCAAGTTTAATTCAAACAAACAGAAGCCTCCCTCCTTCCTCACACTGATGTTTCGTTCAGTTGTTTTTCTTGACAGTTGTTCTCCACCACTTTTCACTTTTCTCCTGAAAATGTTTTACTCTTTTATTTACTAGAAGAGTACAGTTCCTTCTAGTACTTCACCAAAGTAGATAAACTCATGCACAAGTGTTAGTAGGAGCGCAGACCTGGTATTGCAGTCAAGCCGACCTTGGTAACCACGGGCTGCTAATCCAGGGGCACAAGGCCAATTCTCACGCCTGACCAAGATCAGCTAACCACACACACTGAATGCAACAGGACAGCTTACGTTAAATTACCCAGAGATTATCCCACATGCATGGAATGTGTTGGAGAATGCAGCAGCAGTATCCTGAGTGTTCTTGTATTGCTGCTTAAACTTTTAAATCACTGAAATACTTTGAAATGTTCCTGATTAAAGTCAGGCTGGGTAAATGTGTTGTTTTTCTCCCCAGAGAACCTGTTTGAAGTGTCTGTTGTGTATGTGCCTCTCTCTGCTTGGAGGCATAGAGGAGGAACTAACCCTCGAGCTAAGACAGGGCCACTTTAACCATTCTCTCTGCTGTTTCTCTAACTGCAGGCCAAGCCGCGTGGAACAATTACGGCCACCTTTCTAAAGGTTTGCGCTTCTTCCTGTTTCCATGGTGCTATGTGTCAGGCCTGTTCTCTGCATGGCTTTGGGTCATTCTTTAACCAGCATCACTAAAAGGTGCCTTGTGCCTTGGGTTAACTGCATTGCACGGCTTCACTATGTGTAGTTGAGTGCATTGCATGTGAGTATTTCAAAAGAGGTTTTGGCAGGATAGTGCTTTGGCTTGTTTCAATCCAGCAATAGCTACCTGATGCTGGTCTAGAGGTGCTGAGGGACTGCAAAGAGCAACTGTTAAAAGGACCTCAGTACATTAGTGAATCATTTAGTTTTGCTCCACTGTCTTCACTAGAAGTAATATTTCAGCAGTAAGAAAGCCATCTCACCTGCTTGTAACAGTGCCTTTACCTCTTGCTTTCAGCAATGAATTTCTGGCTTTGCCAGTCAGCTTCCTCACTTTAGCCCTTTTTAAGTATCTAGGATATCGAAACAGATCACCAAAGACCTTGAATGCTGTGGTCACCTTTCTGACCTGCTTTCTCCCAACTCCACTACCCTCTATCTACCATGTGATGGCTTGGAAGCTGTGAGAGATGGCTGGGGTGCAAGCTAGTTATTCATTGTGGGGTGATCTCTGTGCGATGCTCTATTTATCTCTACTGCCGATGCTCGCAATTTCCTTTGTGTTACCTTCATGCTCCAAACTGAATAAAAAATATGGGTTCTAGTTTTGCCACACATTTAAACAGTTGTGTGCTTAGCATTACCTACATAAATGTCAGTCAGTGTTTAAGGGCACTTTCCATCGCCCTCTTTGTTGATAGGTCTTGATGCCAACTTGTACTGTCAGAAAGGGTTCAATGCGGGAAACGGATGTAATATTTCCCAATCCTAGACTGTTGCACACCAAACCCCATACCCCACATCACACTAGTCTGTACCAGACTCCATTGGCTCCCTATCACAGAATCAATCGATTTCAAGATCTTCTCACTTGTCTATAAATCTCTTCAAGACCTGGCACCTTTCTGACCTGCTTTCTCCCAACTCCACCACCCTCTACCTCAGTTGGGCCTACTCTGCTTATCCCTCGTCAGTCAGCTTCTCGGCAGCCATGCTTTCAGCCACTATGCCCGAAGCTTTGGCCCCCAAACCATCCGCCTTGCCCCCTCTTTCCCCTCTTTAAGATCATAACTGACGACCTTCCTCTTTGAAGACCTTCCTCTTTGATGTGCTTACGGTCACTTTCTCCATCCCCCCAGCCCGGCGTCAGGCTCCACCACAGTCAAGCGCTGTGAGACGCTGCCCAGTGTGAAGTTCGCAAGTTGTTGTTGTGGGGTGGGGGGGGGGTGTATAATTACTGTGGGGTGTGGGTTTGATTGCTGTGAGTGAAGTGATTACTGTGAGGGGGGGTGATTGCTGAGGGGGTGTGATTGCTGTGTGGGGGCTGTGATTGCTGAGGGGGTGTGATTGCTGTGAGGGGGGTGTGATTGCTGAGGGGGTGTGATTGTGGGGTGTGATTGCTGTGAGGGGGGTGTGATTGCTATGTGGGAGCTGTGATTGCTGATTGATGCTGAGGGGGTGTGATTGCTGTGAGGGGGGTGTGATTGCTGTGGGGGTGTGATTGCTGTGGGGTGTGATTGCTGTGAGGGGGGTGTGATTGCTGTGGGGTGTGACTGCTATGTGGGGGCTGTGATTGCTGAGAGGGGGTGTGATTGCTGTGAGGGGGGTGTGATTGCTGTGAGGGGGGGTGATTGCTGTGAGGGGGGGTGTGGTTGCTGTGAGGGGGTTGTTTGCTGTGTCGGGGTTGATTGCTGTGGGGTGTGATTGCTGTGGAGATGGGTGTGATTGCTGTGGGGGGGGGGTGATTACTGTGAGGAGTGGGGTGATTGCTGTGGGGGGGTGTTACTGCTGTGATGGGGGTGTGATTGTTGTGGGTGTGTCATTGCTGTGGGGGGGTGTGATTGCTGTGGGAGTGGTGTGATCACTGTGGGGAGTGATTGCTGTGAGGGGGTGTTTGATGGTTGTGGTTGTGCTATGATTTCTGTGGGGTTTTGTGATTGTTGTGAGGTGGGGTGTGATTACTGTGGGGGCATGTGATTGCCGTGAGGGGCGTGTGATTACTGTGGGGTTTTGTGATTGTTGTGAGGTGGGGTGTGATTACTGTGGGGGGGTGTGATTGCTGTGAGGGGCGTGTGATTGCCGTGATGGGGGTGTGATTGCTGTTGGGGGTGTGATTGCTGTTGGGGGTGTGATTGCTGTTGGGGGTGTGATTGCTGTTGGGGGTGTGATTGCTGTGGATGTGGGATGGTGATTCAGTTTGCATGAACTAGCCCAGTCAGTCTCTGGAAGAATATGTGTTGAAGTTAGTGCGACAGTGACAGTGGAGTGGATGGAATCAGCTGAAGGGACAAAGTGTGTGCACTGAGCCCTGAGACCGGGCTGTGGTTGAGTTTACTGGCAGGTGTTGGACATGGTGCTGTGTAGCTGTTCTAACATTTATTGCCTTATATGTGTCCAGGTTTTCTTTCTGTTTCTCAGGGCTTGTTCACAGAGGTGATTCCCCTCCTCTGATCTCATTCCATGCAAGAGTTTGGGAGTTTATGCTTTATTGCAAGCGAGACACCTAGGTTCAATTCCAGGCAGGGCGAAACCTTGGGCAAGTTTCCTTACTCCACACGCCTAATAATAATCCCTCCAAAAAACAAAACAATAATATATTGGTCATTTTCAATCCATGACTGTTTGTAGGACAATTGGCTGCTGTGTTTTTCCCACAAATATACAGTCAATTCACTTTGCAGTCTATTCTGTTGAAGCGCTTTGAGACGTCTAGAAGATGTGAAAAGCCCTATATCAAATGCAAGTATTATTATAAATTCCCAAGCTCTTTGTGTGTGGAGGTATAATAGGGAAATCCCATTTCATTCGCACACCACCAAGGTCAGTAACTTTCCTGCTCAGCGGATAGGGTTGTGCGCATGTAAGTGTAGATACTGAGACATAGCTCACTCACCCCTTGTTTTACATCACATGAAGGTCCAGCTCAGTGCTGTGTTACCAGAAGGCTGTGTGGGCAGTTAATGGTGAAGTCATTTCTGTGAAGATAGAACAGAGGAAATTAACTTATGTATAGTTTGGATTGGATGTTATAGTTATGACGTATTTAGGACGAGTGGGGCTTCAATGGACTTCCTGACAAGAGATGCAAATCATGTTGTTGCTGCTCCACATGTCCCATCACCAGTAAAGGCCAGTGATACATGAAGAACCATGGCAGTATAGTGCAAGGAAGCAACATCCCTGCCAGTCACTCTAAAGAGGAATGCAGCTGAGATATTCGAGTGTGTCTGAACCAACAACAATTGTCATTTATACAGCGCCCTTCACGTGAGGTAGAGTTTCGGAGAGCCAGTGAGTGAATGGTTCTAATAACGCTTTCAGCTCTTCAGATCTTATAGGCCCCTAGTAAAATGGGTCAAGGTGTAGATTAAAGAATCACTTTACAAGTGAGGCCTGAAACTGCAACTGGGGTACAGAGAGCACAAGCCACTTCCAGCATTCCTGACCAGCGTGTGTGCGTTTCGTACAGAGAATGATGTGGACCTCACTGAGCTATCACTTTCACTGTTCTATTCTTCTACTTTCATCAGTGCCTTTGGCATTTGCTGTTTCTTATTTAATTATTTAACTTTGCCTCTTCCCTCATTTGATTCTTCTATTTCTTTTTATTTGACTGTAGGAATTGAAGCAGAAGAATGGGGAAAGTTTCTTCACACAAAAAATAAGGTAAGTTATTGGCACTTTCAGTTGGACAAGCTGTAGGTGGTTTTGCCTGTTTTTTACTCGTGCTCAATGCACAACCCAAGGCTGACAGTGGGCTGTGTCCACAAACTTCCTGAATCTGTTTCAGGCTCCAGACTCTGTCAGCAAAATAACATGGTGGTGATTTTGTTGATTTAACAGCTGTGATGATCTCATGGGATTGAGTGGAGTCCTGTAGCTTTCTGGTTAGAGTACTCACCTCACAAGCTGGAGGACCTGGGTTCAATTCCTGGGCAGGCGAAACGCTGAGCAAGTTTCTTTACTTCACACACCTTTGTTTACCTAGCAGTAAGTAGGAACCTATATATATATATTATATATATATATATATGATTTGGTCACTCAATCCACGACTGTTTGTGGGACGCTCATGTGTGCAATTGGCTGCTGCGTTTCACTCACAAAATATATAGACAATTCACTTTACAGTATATTCTGTGAAACGCTTTGAGACGTTTCAAAGATATGATAAGGTACTATATCAAATGCAAGGATTATTTTTATTTGTTAAGATTATGAAAGGGTTTGCTAAGGTAGACGTTAATTGTCTACCTTAGCAAACTAATTGTTTAAGTCCAAAACAAGGAATATAAATATACAATTGCCAGAAGCAGATCGAAAAGGGAGTTTAGGAAAAACGCCTTTACACAGAGGGTGGTGAGAATGTGCTGGAAGCTGCATTTGAAGCAGAAAGTGTCAAGGTATTTAAGAGGAAATTTGATGCATACATGAAGGAGAATTAAATCAAGGGGTATAGGACAGGATTATAGGAATACATGTAGAGTACAAAACACCAGCATGGTCTAATTAGGCTGAATGGCCTGTTTCCTTCCTGTCATATTCTATGCATGTAATTCTAGTAAAATAATTTCTGCCCTTTGGCTCCATGATTTCCAATGCTACAGTTTGTTGGAGGCTCATAATGTGACAAGAAGAGTGCATTTAAAGAAGGCCATTCTGTTTTCAACCTTATTGCCTTTATAGCATCAATGACCCAGCTAAGCCACCTTTACTAATAACCCGTCCCAGCTGTTGGTCACCCCCTGTGTGAACGAATATGTCCTGATGACTGTCCTAGACTTTGCTGGACCTTTCACATCCCAGATGCTATGATCTCAGTCGTCAATCTGTTCATGTAGAATTCTGTTCCTCTCATTTTCCTCCACCAGTGAATAACAATTACAAATGTCTGACTGCAAGGCCTTTGGTGCTCAACTGACTTGTTTATTGGAGAGAAGGAAGCAGAATTCTGTGCATGTCATCTCATTGTTTAAAAGACTTCTTGTTTTTCAGATCTACACAGAATTTGATGAAATCAGGCAAGAAATAGAGAATGAGACCGAAAGGATTTCAGGAATCAATAAGGTGAGAATCAGCTCATGACCAGGAGCAACAAACCTCCTGCTCCAGTATGTAGGTGAGGAGCTGCTCTTACTGCCAGAGATTTCACCGGAAACCTTTATTTGTTGCAGGGGATTAGCTCTGAGCCAATTCATCTCCGCATCTTCTCGACAAACGTTGTTAACCTGACCCTCGTCGATCTTCCTGGCTTGACCAAGGTACAGTGAGTCATGTTTCCAGATGGGTAACACTGCTTTCACACTCTGAGACCATGGCAGCTTTTAATTACTGTCTGGGTAAAGAAATATTTACTGGTTTCTGAGATGATTCATGCTTGGCTCGGTGGCCATGCCTTCAGCCACTATGCCCCAAAATTCTACAACTCTTTCCCTCAATCCCTCCGCCTTGCCCCCTCCCTCCCCACTTTCAGATCCCGCCTAAAGACCTTCCTTTTTGATCGTGCTTTATGGTCACCTCCCCCCTCCCTCTCCCCTGGCTCAGGGTCAGACTCCACCACTGTCAAGCGCTTTGGGATACGCCCCCTCGTGAAGTGCACTATATAAATGCAAGTCGTTGTTGTTAGTTGTATGTAAAAACTGTTTGATTTATAGGAAGGTAATAATAAATAGAATGATCAGCCTGCAGGGCAGTGGCTGGTTTAGGCCCTGGTCACCTGGTTTGCTTTGGAATGCATTCAGAAACGTGCACCAAATTATAACGATTGTGCCTTTCAGCAGTTGTTATCTATGAGCTGTAGATATCAGCACAAGTGATCTGGTCTAGAAAACAAGTTATTGATGTATTTAAAACTGTGACAAAAGAAGTTCTATAATTCAATAGTGTTCCATGTCAGGTTCATTTCCTGGCTGTTCCTTCCATTAAATGTCCTGATCCTGTGACCATCTACAAAGTCGTGACTGAAGACCTTCCTCTTCGACTGTATCTACATTCACCTCCCCCCGGCTCGGTGTCGTGGTCCACCACTGTCAAGTGCTCTGGGACACTACATAGCGTGAGGGGGCTTTGTTTCCTAACTGGTTGTTCGGACTTTGGATTCCACACGTCTTTGATAGCACTTAAGCAGCAGGACAGTGAGCTTTTGTGCAAGACACATGTGCACCAACAATTCTACGGTGTGGACTGAATAACCCGTGCGTTGAACCAGGCAATGTCCACACCGTGAATCTGGTGCTTGAAATTTGGAAATCTTATGCTCTTTCTACCTCTGAACATAAATCCATCCCATTGTGTAAAGATTTTAGTTTTGCCCCTGCCAAACCCTAAGTCATCGTAACAACACTGCTTGCACTGAGACCCAGGCAAGCTGGTGCTGTGGCAGCAGAGCAACATTGCTCAGCTCTAGCCTCGGTCTGGTGCTCCCACTCCAACCCATGGACAGGACAGTAAATGACATGACAAACACCTAACATTCATGAAGTGACCAGTTAGATGGAATTCCTTCCCCAGATAAATAAGGGTGACAATTTCACTTCTTTTTGCTTTTCTGCGGTTACTCAATCCACGACTGTATGTGGGACCCTGCTGTGCGCAATAGGCTACCATGTTTCACCTACAAAATATACAGTCAATTCATCAAATGTAAAGATTATTATTATCCTATTTATCTACCTATTCCTTTCAAAGAGAATTTGTAACACATTCTTCCTTTAACTACAAGCTAGTTCTTTGTGGGTCTGTGCTGTGGTGGGTACTGTGTGTGTAATCCTTCACCCTTTCCACGGGATTGTTACTGCAGGTGCCGGTGGGGGACCAGCCTCGTGACATCGAATTGCAGATCAAAGACCTGATACTGCGCTATATCGGCAACCCAAACTCCATCATCTTAGCTGTCACTGCTGCCAACACTGACATGGCAACGTCAGAGTCCCTTAAAATTGCCAGAGAGGTAGATCCCGAAGGTAAGTTAGGAACAGAAGAACCATTCAATTTATTAGCCCGTGGCAGATCTGAAGCTGCCGAACGTGTGAAGGATGCTTGAAGAGGGAGAGGACAGCTTCTCCTGCTCAGCCATCCTTACCACATGTCGAAGAGCTTAGCTTTAAGGAAAGAGGAGCAGTTAACCCACATAGGGTCCTGATTGCTCCTGGACCAGTGAGGGTTCTGACAGATCATCGTCAAAGTGTATCCTCACAGCCTGGTTGAAGGAGCAGGCGGTCACATTCTCTTTTGGAGTGCATCTCTCTTGAAACGCAGGGGATTGACTTGGGAGCGTCAGTGGGCAGCAGGAGGCAAGTGGCTACAGGAAGAGGCAGAAGGCAGAGCTGGGCAACAAGATGTGGTGGCATCTATGAGCAGCCTGTTTATGATTGCGCAGAAAGGAAAATGTCCAAGGAGTATTTGGAGTCTTTGTAGTCTGTACTGAAGGTGACCTCAAGCTGGGTGTTTGAAGGAAGGAAAAGCCCTGTGAGGAGGTAACAGTGTGTGTGTGATCTGCAGGCCGCCGGACACTTGCAGTTGTCACCAAGCTAGACCTGATGGATGCTGGCACGGACGCCATGGATGTGCTGATGGGAAGAGTCATTCCAGTCAAACTGGGCATCATTGGAATTGTGAGCAGGTAAGTGGGAAGTACTCCTGACATGAAAGGCACTATACAAATATAATTTGTTGTTGATGTTCTGAACCATCCTACTTCTCGTCTTATTTAAATTGTTACATATTTTGATCTCTTCTCCAGGAGCCAGCTGGATATTAACAATAAGAAAATTGTAGCGGATGCCATCAAGGATGAATACGCTTTCCTTCAAAAGAAATATCCCTCTCTTGCAAATAGAAATGGAACAAAGCATCTCGCTAAAACTTTAAATAGGTAAGTTTTTAATCCTCTTGGGCTCTTTACAGCAGCCATTCGCCCTGATTTTATTTGTGAACAGATTGTGAATTTCTTCTTCTCCTGGAACAAACCGGTCTGCTATGGGCAGAGCGGCTCCATGTTCTTTGTTGTTCATTTTATTTGGGGAAAATGCTCATCAGCATTGTGTGTCTGTAGTTATCTACCTTATCTGAACATACACAACGTACCTGCCTCACCATCACGTACCTGCCTTACCTGCATTAATCAGCAACTAAGCGGGTTACTTGTATTTGCAAAAGTGAAAAGTGCATTTACCTTCATTTGCCTCAAACATCATAACACCATGGTTATGTGCAGAGCAGTGCCATTTGAAATCGTGAGATACCTCTCGGAAATTAATTTCAATTAAAGGTGCTGTAAGAGTGCAGATCTGCATTGCTTTCCCTTGAGCTGACAACATAATCCTTGCATTTGATATAGCACCTTATCATGTCTTTGAAACGTCTCAAAGCACTTCACAGAATATACTGTAAAGTGAATTGACTGTATATTTTGTGGGTGAAACACGCACAGCAGTGTCCCACAAACCGTCATGGATTGAGTGACCAAATTATTATTTGAAGGAATTATTACCCCCAGACTCCCACAGGACTCCCATTATACTTCTTCAGGAAACCCTATATATAGCGCTTCCTGAAGAAGTATATGTGAACCAGGAAATGAACCTGAAGAAGTATAGTGGGATGAATTAGCAGAGCTAACTGATCCCGACATGTGCTGTTCTCTCTAGGTTTTGAATGAATGTGATTGACACATGTAATATTTTGGTTGTAGATTACTGATGCATCACATCCGAGATTGCTTGCCAGAGCTGAAAACCAGAATCAACGTGCTGGCTGCCCAGTACCAATCTCTGCTCAACAGCTACGGTGAGCCGGTGGACGATCAGAGTGCTACCCTCCTGCAGCTCATCACTAAATTTGCTGCCGAATACTGCCACACCATCGAGGGAACTGCCAAGTACATCGAAACATCCGAGCTGTAAGCGTGCCGCTCTTTTACTGCCCATATAGCAGGTGGGATGGGCAAAAGTTGCAAAACCTTTTGCAGAGCCTCGCACTCATGTTCTTCAGCACTGGAGGAGCTGATCCAAAGGCCAACTAAAATACTAAAATGTTTGAACCTTTTTTCCAGCTGTGGTGGAGCGAGAATATGCTACATCTTTCACGAAACCTTCGGTCGGACCCTGGAGTCAGTGGATCCGCTGGGGGGGCTTAGTACCATCGACATCCTGACAGCGATTCGCAATGCCACGGTGAGTACAGTCTGTACACAGGTCTCTGCCTCACTCATAACCAACTCAGCTTCCCATGGTCTTCCCCCTCCCCACACGCACCATACGTTTGTGGACTTTTATTCATTCTTTATTTTATTAACTTTTGCGCTCTCATCAAACCACTGGGCGTAGATCTGATCTGTGCAGTCAGTTACAAGACCGACAATGCTGTGAGCAGGGCACCATGGGTGACCATGACTTTGGTTAACAAACTCCGCTTCCCCTGTTTAACCATTGTGACAGGAGCTATAGATATGCAAGGTGCTGTGGAGTGATATGTGGCACTCTCTGATTTGTTTAGGGTCCACGTCCAGCACTCTTTGTTCCCGAGGTCTCTTTTGAATTGTTGGTGAAGCGACAGATCAAACGCTTGGAGGAGCCCAGTTTGCGGTGTGTGGAGCTTGTCCATGAGGAAATGCAGCGCATCATCCAGCACTGCAGCACATACAGCACTCAGGTACCTCTACTGCTGCTGAACCCCAACCTGAAAGTATTTGTCTCTTACTGAATGGGGTGGGGGGGAACTAACTTCTCATTTCGGGCAAACTCACTTAATATGTCTCTGGTCATCCGCACATCATTTCAAAGGCGAACTGGTGAATAATAAGATATATTAATATGGCAGAAGAAGGTACAAGAATTTATCAGCTGTTACTATAAGAGTTGAGCCTCTACAACGCAGGTGGAATGTTTGTTTACCTTATGAGTAATGAGTTGTTGTCTGCAACTGGTGATAGATATGTTGTAGAACACAGAAATGGTCTGTTTATCCAGTACCTTACTCAACAGTAACTTACACTGAATCCAGAGTGGCTATCAGACTTGTCTAAAGACATTTAGAAGTTCACCTTATCTTGTGTTTTCCTTCTTCAGGAGCTTCTTCGTTTTCCAAAGCTCCATGATTCCATAGTAGAAGTGGTCACATCCCTGTTGCGCAAAAGGTTACCAGTTACGAATGATATGGTAAGTCGACCCCTCATGCCAATTTTAATTGCTCTGCTTGTACTGCGTATTTGTTTATGTAGTAATAGAATGAATTGTTCACTCTCCCTAAATCTGAGCACAGGAGAGCAATCTTTCATGTTTCGTGTTCTCAGTGATCCCTTTGATCCTGTTTTTTTGTTTTCACGCTCACTGTAATGTCATAGCATAGCCGGCTCCGTTTATAAACACAGAATGGGAAGAGTGCTTCGGTTACCTATCAGCGTGTGACTGACTCAATGAAAGAGCAGACCTACTGAATGCTTCCAATTCCAGTAGATCCCTGTTCTAATGCGGCTTTGCTTATAATACAGATGGCCTGTGACCCGTGTTGCAGCGCCACAGGCAATGCTATTGGAGGTCGTCCTCCTGACGTGAGAGGTGCTGTGTTAAATGCAAGGATTATTATTATTATTTGGCTGAAGTAAAACTTAACTTGCTTTAAGTTTCTTGCTTTAACTTTTCTTGTTTATTCACCGTGACTTTATTCTTATTCACTTCAAGGTTCATAATCTGGTGGCAATTGAGCTGGCATACATCAACACAAAGCACCCAGACTTTGCCGACGCCTGTGGTGTTTTAAACAGTAACATTGAGGTGAGCTATCAGCTTTGATTTCTGATTTTGCTTCTGTTCATTTGAATTCTGTTCTCATTCCCTGTCACATTAAAAAAAAAGTTGTTTACAGAATGGAATGTATTTCATTTCTCAGGAGCAAAGGAGAAACCGGTTAGCAAGGGAAATGCCATCTGCTGGCTCTCGAGATAAGGTGAGATGTGAAGGAGTTGATAGACGGTAACAGTTCATCATCATGGTGGTATGGTGTATTGTGATACTCCCCATGGCAAGTGCCTAGCTCATGTTCAGGCCCCCCTTACTGAAGGCAGATCTACAGGGTGAGTCAAGGAAGCCAGCCAGCGTGTAACCTAACAACAGTGCTGGCAGAGAACTGAGGTGCAGGTTATGTACAGGGCAGCTTTGTAAGAGGGAAAGTGATGCAGGCTACAAAAGAACTTATGAGGGGGTAGAGGGAGGAGTCTAGGCTCGATTTTGAGACAATAACCGTCCGGTGTATAAGGATGATGTTCTGGGAGTCTTGTGCCTCGGATAATGCAGACTGAGGGGTTTGGTGCGTGATGCTTTCATAGAAACCACTTGAACAGAAAGAGGCCATTCAACCCATCAAGCTTGTTCCACCAGTTGATTAGATTGTAGCAGATTTTTGAATCCCATTTTGCTGCCTTGTCTCCACACCCTTTGACACTCTTAAATCCCAAGAATTGGGTTTAGTAACGCATTCAACATATTCGCTATCACAAGCCGCTATCACAAGCCTTCTGTCTTTTGCCTTTTTTTTACACCTTGCAGTCTTCCAAAGTTCCCAGTGCTCTGCCAGCTTATTCCCAGGAGGCTTCTGCTGAGGTTGGTTATATTGTCTGCTGCATGTTTCACCCTCGTGCTATATTTTAGCACAGACCACTAATGGTGCCTGTTGAGTGCAGAAAAGCTCTGCTTTGATGTCTGATGCACATGTATGTCAGTGTAGGGGTGATTATATAGGTTGCAGTGTAAAGAAACTGCTATACTCCCAAGACCTGTACTTAGGCCACATTACCCCATCAAGGAACCCTGTAAATGTGAAGGTTTCAATTGAAACAAACTTTTCAGCCCTCGGTATAGCTGGGTATCTCCCAATTGGATATCTTGTGAAGTTTAACCTGAATCACTGTTTAGAAGTTTCTTACAGATGAAACCGTTCATCACATCTGTTTTGCCAGTTCATTCCATCACCTCAAATCTTTTCAGCCCATTTCTTTGCCTTTCTGTACCCCTTAAAACTTTCACTTCTCAAGTATCTATTGGGGTAAAATAGTGGTTTGTGGGGCTATTGTGCAGGAGCTGAATCAGAGATTGGAAGGAGATTGTGATGTTATTCCGTAATTTGTGTCATTTTATGTGTGATGAGCTCTTCATCAGCCTTTGCTGTGTAAAGGAAAGAGTGTGTACAGGAAAGACCTGTGTAAAGGAAGAGCAAAGCCACAGCACTGCATGTGTTAAAATAGGGTTTGATTCTTCTATGGGTAACGTTCGATTCAGCACTTACCAGAAACTGCCTTCACACCCAGCTAACATAGTGCATGCAGGACACTGAGTCTGAACTTCTAACTGGGCTTGTGGTTTGGCACCCTGTTAATTATTAGATGAGACTCATTTGTCTTCAGGAAGAAGAATGTTTTGATGATGTTTCTCTGGTGCCTGGGTTGAGTATTGATAGCTGTAGCTGTGGTCAAGGGTTGTAATCCTCCCTTCCAGTGTCCCTCCCTATGCTCGTCCGAGCTGTTGCAGAGTGTACCTGTGAGATTGCTGATCAGGTAAAGAGTTGTAATATAAAGTGAAGAAGGGTAACCAAAGGCGCCAATCCCAGCTACCTTTACCTTCCCCTCCTCCCTCCAGGTTTCAGGTGGTGCAGCCCAGGGGCAGGATGGAAGCCAGGATGGCGGAACAGGGAACTGGAGAGGAATGTTAAAAACATCTGCATCCAAGTCAGATGAAGGATCCTCTGAAGACAGACCCAAGCAATCTGCTCCCAGCAGCCCTCAGAGGGGACCATCTGTAAATTTTCTTGATGTGGTGGGTTGGAGTTCTGTTTCCAGTGTGCTGCGATTCTTACATGTAACAGGATTGAACATATAGCACCTTTATACTGGTGTGGGTCCTGCTTGTTTTAGCCATTTCATTTTGTACTTGATCCTTCACTGTCTTTCAATAAATACCCATTGAAATGCACAAAATGAGGACAGGCACAATAAAGGCAGAGTGTAAATGACACCTGATAAAGATATTGGGATCACCTTTATAAGAGATTTAATCTCATGTTATATGTCAGTCATCTGCTCGCAAGCACAATCCATTGGCAAGCGGTCATGAGGCATTCACACGATGTTGTGGGAGCAGAGGGCTGGTCCAGGGCTTTACTTTCATACCAGATATTTTGGATAATAGTCCATTGGGACGTCCATACTGTAAAAAGTTTGCAATTGAAATTCATAAAGTGCTTAAAATAGGCATCAATTGAATATTTAGTTTATTAGCAATGTTTTGTCTGATAGATGTTTTGCAAAAAATACAGTTATCTGAATTTTTACTTTCAGAAATGCTAGGCTTTTTTTAAGATCTTTTCATACTGTATTAAGTGCTTTGTATGCATGGAAAATTTGGGCATTCTCTCTTTCGTTTCTGTCTTTTCTGTTCGACTGGTTGTGTTGCAGCTCTCCTCTATTCTTGAACTTGTGCCTCAAAAAGACAATGTTTGTTTTGCTTTTTGTTAAAAACTAGAAACTTTAGTGCTGTAAATGTTAAATTAATAATAATAATAATAATAATCCTTGCATTTGATATAGCGCTTTTCACGTCGGGAGGACGTCCCAAAGCGCTTCACAGAACACACTGTAAAGTGAATTGACTGTATATTTGTGGGCGAACGTGGCAGCCACTTGCGCACAGCAGTGTCCCACAAACAGTCGTAGATTGAAAATGACCAATTTTATTATTGTTTTGTTTTTTGGAGGGATTATTATTAGGCGTGTGGAGTAAGGAAACTTGCCCAAGGTTTCGCCCTCTGCCTGGAATTGAACTCAGGTCTCTCGCTTGCAAAGCGAGTGTTCTAACCACTGAGCTACAGGTCTCCACTTGCTCCAATTACTAACCAAAACTCTTCAGCCCTGTTCACCTTGCTTTGGGGAAAGTTGCATTGAAGGCAATACTGTGTAGGCACGGCCTGAGAATGAAACCTGCTTGTCCAGTGATAAACGATTTTGAAACTTGTCTTTTCGTTTTTCACTCAGCAATGCTAGACTTGATGTACAATAGGCAGTAATGTAAGTGATTTTCTATAGTGTTTGTAGAGTGTAAATAAGGAATACAAATATCTTGTTCACAGCGTGTTCCTATCTCGCGGAAACTTTCAGCCAGGGAGCAGCGCGATTGTGAGGTGATTGAACGATTGATCAAGTCGTACTTTCTGATTGTGAGGAAAAACATACAGGATAGGTAAGAGTTTTCACTATTCTTACTTTTCATCTCAGGGTTACCACTCAGAAATTTACCACGATCTTTAAAGCTGCACTGACAATGGCATTTATGATTGATAGAGTTGAATCTGCACTTTGTGCCTGGTTTCATTCTCCTGCTTTGAATCTTTATCTGCTGCTGAATGACCATCTCTCCACAGCCTTCAATTCCCTAGCTCCCCTGAAATCCAGGGTTGTTTCCAAACCCACCTGCTCCCCCTGATACAACAATTATCTCCGCTCACTCAAAACACAAACCCCTGATGCTCATGCAGATGGCAGAAATTTGGCCTCACGATTCAGCGCCAGCTGCGCCTCTTCCTTTCACAGACCAAAACTGACTTTTACTCCAACAACAACTTGGATTTATATAGCGCCCTCTATGCCGGATGGTGTCTCAGAGCGCTTACAGTTTCAGATCCCGGGACCGAGCCGAGGGGAGGGGAAGGTGACCAAAGGCGCAGTCAAAAAGAAGGGTCCAAAGTTATCTTGGAGGCAAACAACAATCCAAAGATACTGTTTTCCACCGTTCATAACCTCCTCTGTGCACCCCCTCAAGCCCCCTCGATCCTCACATCAAACACCAAGTGCAAAGAGGTCTTAGACTTCTTTGCCTCAAAAATTAAAAAATCCACTTGGCGTACTTTTCCCATATCCTGTTCCACCTCAACAAGACCATTCACACTGCCTTCTCCCTCCGCCCCGGCTCCCTAAGCTCCCCCTCCTTACACTCCTTGACCCCATTTCTCCCTCCCTATCAACCACAATCACCCGGATGAAGTTCACCGCCTGCTATCTTGACCACCCCCCCACCCAGCTGCTGGTCACTCAGCTCCCCCTTCTCTCCCCCCTGCTTTCCTATCAAAACCATTTAGATTCCTTTACACTACGTATTACCTCCTAACTCGTAACACCGCTCCCCTACCCTCCATTATTCCTGCACTTATTGGTTGCGATAAATCATGGGAAATGACATCGTGACCTGTCAATGCATGCCCACTTATTGGCCAGGTGCATTGAATTGCGTGAAATGTAGCTTTGATCTGTCAATGAATGCGCAGAAGAATTCCATTGAATGCAACGCCAATGCTTGCCGGTAAGTGTGCATGCAGCGATGGGCCAAGACGAACTGAGTCACGGGAAATGTGGTCTTGAGCCGTCATTGCATGCGCATTTAGCACTGCATTCAATTACGCACGCGCAGTGTAGATTATTGATTAAATCAGATTTTCTACGACATTCGTCTGCAACTCGAACTTCACTTAACTCTTATTAAACGTTATGGTCCCGACTGATACGACTTATGTGAGCTTAACTGTATATAAAGGAGAATTTGTTAGTTGCATTCCTCTTGCTCTGTTCCTAGTGTTCCAAAGGCAGTGATGCATTTCCTAGTCAATCATGTGAAAGACAATCTCCAGAGCGAGCTGGTGGGTCAGCTATACAAGTCCATGCTGCTGGAAGACCTCCTCACCGAGTCGGAGGACATGGCACAGCGCAGGAAGGAAGCTGCGGACATGTTGAAGGTACTTGATCATGACAACCTCCCAATCAGCCTTCAGAGAATTCCCCCGAACACTTTGCACATGGCCACATATCACAAATGATATTCAGTTTCAAAATAACTAATTATAATAATCCTTAAGAGTGATATAGTGCTTTTCAGGTGGTTGTCCCAATGTGCTTCACAAGATGTACTGTAAAATGGAGTGACTGTGTATTTTGTGGGCGAACGCAGCAGCCAATTTGAATGACAAATTTTATTAGGGGTATCGGTGGCCACGTTAACCTGCGTATGTGGCACTTTAAATAATGTTTAAACAAATTATTTGACCTTTTGCTGCTGCACCTGCAATTCTTTGGCAACAAGTCTTTGTAATTTGTCAGTGCATTTAAGTACAGGGTACGAGGAGGCAGCGGGTTACACTAAGTGCGGTTTTCTAGCCTCCCAGGTAGGCCATCCAGTCAAGTTAGTGGAGACTTTCACTGTCTGGGCTCAGTCCCACATCAGTGTTTTGCTAATTGAGCCATGAAAGGAGTCCAGAGTGTACTTATTGTTTAGTAAAACCGACAATGCATCGTAAATGCAGGTCCCTTTATTACCTCTTTATCTCTTTTTTTTCCAAACAGGCCTTACAACGAGCCAGCCAGGTCATTGCTGAGGTCCGAGAGACCCACCTGTGGTGAAGTGTCCCCAACATATCCGTGCAGTGGCCGGAGCCACATCTCAGTTACTTGAATGCTGCTGAATGAACAAATGCACTGGTTTATTTGCTTACTGTGTAAAATTGTATTTATGGACTGTCGGCTGCAGTACTAAAACAAATCAAACTATACAGAAATGGTAAATGTCCCCTCCCTGTGGCACTCACTTGTGGTGAGGTGATCTTTCTGATTCTGTGGGATGACTGGGTGGGAGATTTCAATTGGAAAAATCACCTCAATCGTAACCTTCAGAAGCACAAATGTGTTTTTTCCCATCAGTGCTTCATGGTTGAAGCATCCATTCCAGCTCTCGTCCCCATCTGCTTTGCAATGTGAGAACTGTATCCCAAGAAGCAGAACAGTCTGTTGTCTGAGTTGAAAAGTACTTGAAGCAATGCCACTTGCACTGACCAGCTTTGCTGTGTTCAGACCTTGTGAACACTCAGCCATCTGCAAGCAGTTCTAAGTTAGGGGGCTGTCACATTGTGTTTTGTTTAAAAATAGCTGTTAATATCTTGAGACTGAAGCATTTGTGTGAACAGTGTTTCTTGCTGGTCTGCACGTGTTCAAATGCTTCAGATTTAATCCAATAATGTTGAGTGGCCACTGTTCATTGCACTGGTCTGTTCTCCGCTGCAGTACCAAATTGGAACTAACTGCCTCTGCACATTACTTTGTTCTCTGAGGTTTGGTGTGACATGTAAAGAGAAGCCAGTCTGTAAGGTGTAAAATGCAATTTATTGTTGCCAATAAAAGTCCGAAAGGTCTTCTTTCCTCACTTCCTTTGAAAAAAAATGAGAAGTGGGTACGGAACCTTGCAAATTTTAAATGAAAATGTTATTTTGCTGTTTAACATTTCAAATCATATTCAGTCAGGATTAGTAGAATTCAGATTTGATTGCTGTATGAGAAAGTTGCTTGATACATTTCCCCTCCCTGACAATAAATTGTTGAAGAAATGAGCCCAGGAAATCTAACGTGTCTGGTGTGCAGCCTGATGAACAGAAAAACTTATAAAGATTTGGAACAAAAATAATGGTTCTTATTTCCAGATTTCTCAAACATTAATTGCCTGGAAGATTGAAGATTCTTGTCTTTAGTGAAACCATGGGGTAAAATAGAGCAGTGGACAAATGGGATTTGGCTGTGTGACTAAAGATTGTATTTGGGACTTGGTTGATAAATGATTGTGTGATTGATTATACAGTATATGTTGGTGTTTCTGGGTAGCACGCTGTTATGTTTTGCGTCTTAATTAATTTTTAATATAGAAGAAAACATTAGAATCAAGGTGGATAATGAGTTCCAATTAATTGATTAATGCCGTCACCTACAGTGTGCCTGGTGAAGGTGCCTGCAATATACATTTATGGCACAAACCATTGGGTACAGACAGCTGCAGCTCCTCCCACAGAGTAGGTCAGTGACCTTGAAGTCTCTGTGCTCTCCCTCCTTTCCTGTGCCTGGGAAAAGGTAAGATGGTTTGCAGCAGCTTTTCCCCTCATTGTAGAACTGTAGGAACAAGAGTTGAGTAGGCTGTGAAAGCTTTTATGGTGTCTAATGAGAGCTGGTGACATTCCCCAGATGGGATTTCTTTTATCCATGACGTTTGCTTTGCATGGCAAATGTGCCTTTTGGCGTGTCTGTTACTAGTGTTCAGTATTGCAGTGAGGAGCTTCAAATTGGTTTAATTCTGCTTCTGCAAGCATACGTATACCTAAGGCCATGCACTGCAGTAAAATGCCACAAATGTAATCATGAGCAAGCACTAACTTCCGCATTAATGCCAATTCATATGTGTCCACCTGGAAGTTCATTCATTCCTCATGTACGAGTCAGAAGTGTTTAAAAAAAAACTCGACAGGACCTATATATTTTTATTTGCTGTATGAAGGTTTATGTGAGAAAGCCCACAGTGATTAAATTTGTACATTGTAAACTCAGTATTCATTTTTCATTGGTTTTATTTAACTGTTGGTCAGATGTGATGGTTTGCTGCTAATCACACATATGGGGCAGAGGATATAATAGCAGTAAAATCAACATGCAAGTCAGCCAAGATAAGTGAAAGGGAATAAAACGTCCTCATTGCCATTCAACTCCTACAGCTCAAAATCAGAGCACTCTGAATTTGTCTTGAGGTGCCTAATTAGATATTGCACATACTGCAACTGAAATCTTGTGAACCATTGTGGCCATTGGCAGGGATTCCTAATGTTCGCACTGGTTCCCTGGATGTTACCAGGAAGCAAACTACCATTGACCTATTCTGACATCTTACATTGCCAATGTGTCGCAAGTTCACTTGCTGCCTGTTTCAAGGTATGCTCATGCCCAAGCAGGAGATTCCTTTTCCCCAGGTAGAATCATCCAACCTCTTCCCTGCTTTCTACTCCACTCTCATCCATCGTGGAGTCCCATGGTTAGAGCACTCACCTTGCAAGCGAGAGGATTGGGTTTGATTCCCGGCGAAATGTTGGGCAAGTTTCCTTACTCCACCCGCCTGTTTACTAGCTGTAAGTAGGAACCTGGTTAGTAGTTGATTGGTGGATCGCTTTTCCGGGGTAATAACCCCCTCCAAAAAAATAATAATAATTTGGTCACTCAGTCCACAACTTTGTGGGACGAACTCTCGTGGTCATGGCACTCAGTGCTGTACAGCCTCTTTCCTGGCACCCACAGCGAGACCCACATGGAGTGCACCTGGAGGATCATCAACTCAATGAAGGAGGCCCTTTGACTCCTGAAACCTGGTAGTCTTCCGGCAGAACGAGGTGAGAGACGGCCTGCCTCAGGCTTGGGCATGCTAGGATAAGGAACTTCGTGCTAAGGGCCACACTGAAGCGCAGCCATGGCAAAGGACAGATGGGGCCTGACCCCAGCCGGAGCTGCTCCTGTGCTAGCCGTGCCCACATCGGCATCACATCCCCATGCGCTAGGGCCCCTACCAGTGAGAGGGATACATTAGGGCGCAATCACCGGGTAACTCATGAGCACACCCAAAACTGAATAAACATCTATGTAACCATGTAAATGTACAAAAGGATATAAGATGTAACCAAAGAGCTTCCTGAAAATGTATGCATATCTGCCTTCCCTTATAAAGGGGGGAGTGGCAGTGAGTGAGGTAAAGGCTCACCAACCTGTAAAATGATGGCAGAGCCGAGACTAGCCCATCTGTGTAACTGCTCCCTGTAGATAAAAGGAACAGAACCCAGGCAGGGACGCCGCAGTGACGGGCGAGACTGGTTTGGGTTGTTTAGTGTATGGTTTTGTGTTTGCGATGTCTCTGGATGTTTATTATGTGTGTACGCGCAGTGCACATTGGGGCGTCATCTGAAATCGGCAAGTGTGCATCAGGATGCGCGGGCATGCACATGGATGCAGTGCACATGGGCGTTTCCTACCTGTTTTAAAGGGAGTGTCCCAAAAACATGTGTACATATCCTGTGTGCTGTGATCCTGTCCGCACTCCCCACTAAGAGGGGAGAGAATAGGGAGGGGAATACAAGACCCCATTTGTAACTGCGCCCTACAAAGGGTAGCAGAACCCCAATGTGGGGAAGCCTAGGTCCCTCCACCAAAATGGAGTGGGCCGGGTTTGTTGCGTCCTGTAACGAGGTAATAATATGTTGCGTCTTTTCTTCTGTGACGGGTGCTGATACTTTCTGAGATAAAAAAGTTTTGAGTATTGTTGTTATGTAACAGAATGTTAGAATTGAGTCCACCCTCTTGCGGTAGTTTTGCCTGAGCCAGGCAGGTCCACAGTACTCCAGGGCACTGCTGATGACGCTCCTGTTTATCAGCAGGATTTGGAAGGGTGGGCCAGTTACTGGGGGCAGGAACTCTTCCGGCTCAGCTCCTGTTAACTCTGCAAGCCAGGCTTTCCCCGATGCTTGTCCAGAAGTGACCACCCTACCCATTGGGGCTTTAATAATAATAATAATGTATAATAATATTAATAATAATAATATTAATAGTAATGTAATGTGAATTTGTGGAGTCCTGTAGCTCAGTGGTTAGAGCACTCGCTTTGCAAGCGAGAGACCTGAGTTCAATTCCAGGCAGAGAGCGAAACCTTGGGCAAGTTTCCTTACTCCACACAGAGCCTAATAATAATCCCTCCAAAACCAAAAACAATAATAAATTGGTCATTTTCAATCTATGACTGTTTGTGGGACATTGCTGTGCGCAATTGGCTGTCGCGTTCGCCCACAAATATACAGTTAATTCACTTTACAGTGTGTTCTGTGAAGCTGTGAAGCGCTTTGGGACGTCCTCCCGACGTGAAAAGCGCTATATCAAATGCAAGGATTATTATTATTATGTAATTCTACGTAAAATAAAATGACCACTCTTTGGTTAAACTAAAGTAACCAGCGTACGTTTATCTATATGAAGATGTGTGAAAATGATTCTCATTTGTGAACAAAATACAATCACTACACTTTATAGCAAATCATGTTAAGTGCTTTGAAACATCTCCCCAATTTGAAAGATTGTGGTCAAATGCAAGGATTCTTATTATAATTCTTCACACCACCCATGGGGGAATTCTACTCTGAAATGTCAAGAAACAGAATGTATTGCAGTGTTTTGGCAGTAACACGCTTTGTTAATGGCAGGATTCACTGTTTGCCTTTCCAATTGTTAATATCATATTTGTTATTTCATTACTATGGGAGAAAAAAATGTAATGGCTTTGTTGCAAAAGAAAAGTATCATTCCAATATGATGGAACCTTAGGGAATGCAATATTTGGTTTAGTGTTATAAACTTAATTAAACCCACTTTGGAATTTGTCAGCCATTCTACTCTGCTGAGAAAAAGAACAAGCCAGGGAAAGCTGGTTAGCAATCAAATCTATTCCTCCCTCATTTTATAATAATAATCCTTGCATTTTTATATAGAGCCTTATCGCATTGTTGAGATGTCTCAAAGTGCTTCACAGAATATACAATAAAATTACATTTGTATGGTGTCTTTCATGTCGGGAGGACGTCCCAAGGTGCTGGTCAGTCAGGGATTTGGATAAGAGCATTAATATACTATAATGTGAATTTATTCTATATTTTGTGGGCAAAACATGGCAGCTAATTGAGCAGAGCAGTGTCCCACAGTCGCGGATTGAATGACCAATTATTTTTGCACATGTGGTAAGATATTAAAGCTTATTGTTAGTAGTAGATTACACCTTTTGTGTAAATTAATCTTGATGCTCGCCATGTGAACAATGTGAAACTAAACATTGAAGAAAGAGAATAGAAACTCAAGACCAGATTAACCAATAAACCAGTTAAGCAATACCTTAGGGCCCTGAGGTTTGAGGCCCCCACGCCCCCGACTAGGATTGATACCTTTATCTTCCGGCTGTGCCTCTCTTCCGGTCGGTCTCTGTGCTGCCTCATATGAGGGAGTGCTGAAAGTGATGGGAAGAGAGGCGGTGTGGGATATATAAAATATAAAATGTAATTTTGTTGTTGTTGTAATCATTTTGATCATGTAATTGACATTGTTTGAAACTATGAAGCCATGCAAGGAAGTATTTTAAAAAGGTATTGTTGCATATTTTGAGGGCCCCCAAATGTGATCTGGTTTAGGGCCCCCAAGGTCCTTAACCTGGCCCTGGCGAGATTGTTAAAGTAATGTGAATATGTGGCACAAACGTCAACAAACTGGTTAAAAGCACTTTGAGCATCAAGGGCATGGGTGCTGTCTTTCAACTGCTGATCACAAAGGTGTGCAAAACTAATCATTGCCAGCAGCTCAATTGGACAGCCTAGGAAGGCAGAATACATGGAAGGCATTTGACTCGTAGCAAATACGAGAGGTAGGGAAGAAGCTCATTTGAAACCATGGTACAATAGTCTTAACCCAATAAATAATCCTTGCCTGTCAATTACCTGAGCAATGACTTGAGAAGCAGTGCGGGGGGGATTTGAAATTCATCAGGTGTGCACGTTCTGGTCCAACACTTGTCGGAACAGTCCCCTTTAGCCTAGTTTAGCCTAGGACCACCTTCCTCCATTGCCCGCCCCCGACTGTACCTTACCCCAGACACAGCTGAAACACTCATCGATGCATTCGTCACCTCCCGCTACGTCTATTCAAATGCCGGCATTGCCAGTTTCCCAAGCTACACCATCCACAAAATCCAGCTGATCCAAAACTCTGTGACCCGCATACTCACCCCATTAAACTAGTTCTAACCAGACTCCACTGGCTCCCTATCTCTGAACAGATCGGTTTCAAGATCTTCGCACTCGTCTTCAAATCCCTTCATGTCCCAGCACCTCCCTACCTCTCTGATCGGCTTACTCCCCAGCCCATTACCCGCTGCCTCCGCTCAACTGGCTCTGGCCTGACTCATGTCCCTTGTGCCCTCTGTTTCACCATCAGTGGCCGCGCTTTCAGCCACTATGCCCCGAAACTCTGGAACACTCTTCCTCTATCCCTATTGAACACTGTTCCTCTATCCTCTACTGAAGCGCTCCAGAACTCTACCCCGGGTGAAGTGCCCTATATAAATGCAAGCTGCTGTTGTTACAATCCTTCCCCATCTTCAACCATGACTATGGTCATCTCCCCCCAGTTCGGCGCTGTGCTCCATCACTGTCAAGCGCTCTGGGACACTACCCTGAGTGAGGGGCACTATATAAATGCGAGTTTATGTGAGTGCCCCTCCCTCCCCACCTTCGGTCACCTCCCTTCTCCCTCTTCCCTTGGCTCGTTGTCAGACTCCGCTGCTGCGACGCGCTACAGGATGCTACCCCGCATTAAGGGCGCTATATAAATGCAAGTTGTTTTGTTGGGTTTGCTTCTCGATCAACACTGATGCAGCTGAATCCATTCTTCATTCACTAGAATGAGGATAAGTGTGCATGTGAGAGAGACCCTGAGCAGCTTCCAGACACCCCGCAGGCTTGTGCTGCATTGAGGGGCTATGTTTTGGGTCCGGGCCCGAAAGGTTGACTCACTTTCCTTTCTCCATAGATGCTGCCTGACCTGCTGAGTTTTCCCCGGCTCTCTCGCTGTTTTTTTGTTTCAGATTTCCATCATCTGCAGTATTTCGTTCTGAATTATTAACAGTACTGTGCATCGTTTTACGTTATTAGCTTTGCCTGCAGGGGGAGTATGGACAGGCTGTGTGACCAGGAGCAGAGCATCGGAAAGACGCCCGCTAACTATCTATCTATCTATCTAGCTATCTATCTAACCAACCAACCAACCAACCTCTGCCTTGTGTCCAGCTCCCCCACACCCTGATCCCGGCCGAGACCGGTTGTCTTGTCTCCCCCCTCCACCGGCTCCTCGGAGGAAACCAGTTATTGGTTAAAACTGATAATAATAATAATAATAATTTGATATAGCGCTTTTCACGTCGGGAGGACGTCCCAAAGCGCTTCACAGAACACACTGTAAAGTGAATTGACTGTATATTTGTGGGCGAACGCGGCAGCCAATTGCGCACAGCAATGTCCCGCAAACAGTCGTAGATTGAAAATGACCAATTTATTATTGTTTTGGGGTTTTGGAGGGAATATTATTAGGCTCTGTGTGGAGTAAGGAAACTTGCCCAAGGTTTCGCCCTCTGCCTGGAATTGAACTCAGGTCTCTCACTTGCAAAGCGAGTGCTCTAACCACTGAGCTACAGGACTCCACAAAAAGATATATATATATATCTATAACTACACAACACACACACACACACACACAGTATATTCATTTTCTTGTAGAATTCCAACCCCTTCTCTCTGAGAAAGCACGAGTGACATTTGTGGTCTGGGGGTTTTTTTTTACAAAAAAATGACAACAAAACCAGGTGAGGGGCGAAAGCCGACGCTGAGTCGTGTCCGAGTCGGCAACGAGCAGCTGAGTTTTCCTTCCCCCCCCACCCACCACCGGTTAGCTTTCCTGTCACCGGGCTCTCCCCCAACCCACCGTTCCTCTCTCACAACACCTCACCCGGCCTCCGCTGACCCTCGGTTGGGCACATGGTCTTCACGTCTCCCGACAACACCTCCGAGCGTTTCGCCATTGGCCGGTTCACTTCCCTCTCCTCTCCTCTCCTCCCTCCTACCTGCCCGCAGCTCCCCCCGTCCCGTCATTTCCGCCTGTCAGTCCCGAAACCTGCGGCTGTCGCCTATTGTGGCGGAAAACAAACAAAACTGACCCCCCCCTCCCCTCCCCCCCCACACCCGCCAAAAAAAAAAAGGCGCCCGGAGCGTCGCCTCGCCTCGCGTCGCGGCCCAACCGCCACCGAACGTTGCGGCCCTCGGCGTTCGGAAGCCACTAACGGTCGAGGCTCGAGCATCGCCGCGAGCAGAGGTGAGGGCGAGTGCGCGCGAGCGCGGCACAGCGCAGCGCAGCGCAACGGCCGCCAAGGACGGCTGAGAGGGTCCAGCGGACGGCCGTCGCGCCCGCAAGGCAGTTCGTTATACCGTGTGTGTGCGTGTGTGTGTGTGTGTTTTTTTTTGAAATATCACGTGAGTACAGAACGGTAAGTCTGCGCGCAGAAATGGCTGTGGAGTTCAAATGGTTAAGAAGCCCTGAGGTAACTGACTCGCGAGAGAGAGAGAAAAAAAAACCGCCTGTCAACTCACTCGGCTTCTCTCTTTGCCTTGTGCCCCCGCGCGCTGTTAACTCACAGCTGACTGTCAGGGTGAACAGGGCCCCTGGAAAAAAAAAGTGGGTTGCGCTCACTCCTGGGAGTAAGTTTGTATTCTCTCTCTCTCTCTCTCTCTGTTCCCTCTCTCACGCCTCAACGAGGTTGGAGTTTTTTCTCTCTCTCTCTCTGTGCGCGGCTGTCTGGGAGGACGGGTCTCAGTCGGGCTTTCTTTCTGTCAACTTATCGTACAACTTGTGTCTTCGCAACAACTGTTTATTGGAAGCAGGTGCAGCCCACAACGAGCTTCGAGGCACTTATAGTCCAGTACTTTGGGAAATAAACAAACAAGTCTTTGCTTCCACTCTCGTGTTCATTGGAGGGAGTCAGTGCCAAGTTGGGTTGTGCGGTTTCTTAACTTTTTTAAAAAAATTTTTTTTAAAAAAAAGCCTGAAAGCGTGTGCGTTTTTCACAAAATGGAGCACAGCAGACGAGATGATCTACGGGTTTTTTTTAAAAAAAATGTTGTAATGTGTAATACATTCTGAATGTCTAGGAAGCAGAGGACTTTAGGCTGCACTTTCCACAAATTGAACCAAGAGCGTGGTCAAAGCACGTGCTGAACATTGCCCTCTGTGAGGTTTGTTGTCCCTCCAGTGCAAATAATATGTGGCACCGGGCACTGTTACACATCTGAACCACTAATTGTTGTTCCCCAATAAGAATAAACAGTCTCTTTCTTACTTAACTTGGTGGTTCAGCTCCTGTGTTTCATGTTGCACTCCAGTTTGGATTAGTATTTCACTGTATTCGTTTGTTGGCTGGCTTTGTATTTTTTTAAAAAAACAATCTTGTTCAGTCATCTGTTAGCACATGGTTTTCTGATTAATTTCCATAACTGCCTTTTTCCATTTTTGAGGAAGTTCCTCCTTGTTTCAGTTTCCATTGGAATTTTCTAGAACCTCAATTTTCCAGCCCATCATCTCAGTTCTCCATGTGGGACTTGTAGGGAAAGGCACTACTCTATACTCCCAGATAAGAGCCAAGTTAGATGATTTCATTTTCTCCATATAGCTTATGCCTACCTTCTAAGAACTGTGTCTCTCTTTTAAATGCCCCAGGTGGTTCTGCCTGTATGGGATTTTTTTAGGCAGCTAGTACTGCCCTACCCGCAGGGTTTTGGCTTGCAGGGTTAACGGGAGCTGAGTGGGAAGAATCTGCCTCCATTGACTGACTGCCTTCCAAGGCCTGCCGATGAGCCAAGCTGGTCGGCCTGTCATCAGCAGTGTCCTGAAGTAATGCGGACCCACTTAACTCAAGAACTGGACTACCGATAAATAAATAAATAATTTGGTCACTCAATCCACGACTGTTTGTAGGACACTGCTATGAGCAATTGGCTGCACGATTCACCCACAAAATATAGTCGATTCACTTTACAGTATATTCTGTGAAGTGCTTTGAGACGTCTCGAAGACGTGATAAGGCGCTATATCAAATGCCAGTATTATTATTGCCGAGACCACCATCACAGAGGATTGGTTTGATTTTTGACATTCCATTGCCAAACATGTCACCCTGGAACCAGTACAGCTCTAAGGAAATCTTGCTTGTTAGTTGGCCATTTGACATCTGACAAATGTGGGTTTGAACCCTCACTGGGTGGATGGGAGTACCGGGAACTCCTGCGAGCTTTCTGGTGGTCAACTCAGCTCAGCTTGAAATGTGTGAGACCATTGCCACCATCTTCTTGCCCACAGCTTGGATTCGCATCCCTTCCCCTTGAGCGATGGTTTTACCAATTGGAGGTGTGGGGCTCGAGCAGCAACTGCTTGCCTCTCTGCAAACCAATCGAAACAATAAAAGTCATACGCAATGCAGATATGATATAGATGTTTTAGATGATGAGAGGGTAAACTAACCATATGATAGAGATCTATAGAATATTCCCACTTCTACCCTGTCCCTTCTCCACACATCCACAAATGACAGACAAGCAATATATGCACATCTTTCACATCTATGCACGGAGTCATGAATAAGTGTAACACACCAAATGAGAGTAGTAATGCAGTAATGCTTAACTCTGAAATCTGAGCATCATAGAAACGTGGAGAAGTGATAATATTGTCCTGTGTGTTTTCAAATAATTAATATAAGTAAATGTTTAACATTTTAACAAACTAAATAAACAAATGAGATATGATGTGCATGTTTGTAAATATAGCAGATTAAATTATACTGGGCCAGTCAATTATATAAAAGAAGTTGCAATCATACATTGTTTGTAGAAAAGAGTTACAAGTTGGGTATTATTTCTTGGAAATAGCAGACTTCAAGCAAATATAAATACTAAGCAAAACTCTCCCTAGTTATTGGTTTGTCTTTTAGTCCATACAAAGAAGGTTCAGTTTCCTGTATTACTTAATTTACAACAGTGCACAGTATCTTCAAATTCCAATGGTGTTCTGTTTGATCTGAATACTTTCATATTTGCTTAAATAATTCCTTTGGTATTTGATTATTTATTGAACTCAGATTCATTTCCCTGAAGAAACATAGGTTGGCATTTTCAGTGTTCCTGAACTGAATGTCCCAAAATTCTTTCCTGATTTCCTCATTACTAATTCTGTTTTAATGGTGTTTCCACATGCTCTTACCACAGCTCCTCCATAGAATTACTCATCTCAGCTGGTTTGTCTTTTTGGCTCCAAAAGTGCCCCTTTGATCCAGGTTTCTCCACTGCATCATTTTATTTCCAGCAATTATGACAACATGGGAATATTTTCTTACAGAATCATATCTGTTTTTGCCAGGGTTACCATTGATTTCTTACTTTCTGAAGCTTCTCAAAGGCATTAGATGCCACAACTATTGACTCTTGAAGCAATAGTTCAAATTACAAATGTAATATCAAAAGATTTTTCTGGAGACCTTGGCAGACTATAGTGCATGATAAGGTTGTGTTCTTACTTGATACGTTTAATCTGAAAATCTGCTGAGGAAGGATCAATGGTTCACACCCCTATTCGAATTGCTGTTCTTGCTTGTCAAACAAATTGTGGTGAAGAATTTTGCGGTTAATCACAAGGATTGCTGCTGATCTCATCGTTGTCGTTTTTTTGTTGAAAGCAAGCGTGCCATTTGTCAATCTTTGCTAATGTCTCACCTTGGTCTCTTTATTACACTTGTATCTAGTCATGTTGCACATTAACAACAACGGTTTTAACTTTTTGAAGTTCTTCACCTAGCAGAATAATAATAATCCTTGCATTTGACATAGCGCTTTTCATGTCTTCTAGACGTCCCAAAGAGCTTCACAGAATATACTGTAAAGTGAATTGACTGTATATTTGTGGGCGAAACGCGGTAGCCAATTGTGCACAGCAGTGTCACACAAACAGTCGTGGATTGAGTGACCAAATTATTTTTTTTAAGGATTGTTATCCCTGAAAAAGCGATCCACTAATCGACTAACAACTGGGTTCCAACTTACTGCTAGGTAAACAAAGGCGTGTGGAGTAAGGAAACTTGCCCAACATTTCGCTCTGCCAAGAATTGAACCCAGGTCTCTCACTTGCAAGGCGAGCGCTCTAACCACTAAACTACAGGACTCCACAATGTTAATTTTACATGCGTTTCTGAGATGTGTATTATAAAATTGTAAAGTGCCTGTTTACAACAACATACGTACATTGTGCAAAAAATTGTGATAGATTAAAAGATCCAAATAATAACTACTCATGTCATTTGAAACATTGTGTTCTGTTTCCTTGAAGTTGTATCAAACTGTATATAAAGAAGAAACAGCCCGTGACTGGCCTGCTGCATTGTTAATAGGATAAAGACATAACAAGCTCATTCTTGCCTTTATCTCCAGAAGGGGGAAGCTTTGATTTATAAATGTAGGTCGTACTCAAGCATTGAATGTATGCTGCTGTACTTTGTGTGTTCCTCAACAGTTATTTGTAGGAAAGTATTGTGTTTTGCATTAAGAAAATCATTTCCCCTCCATTTTAAAGAATTTTCCTTTGGTGTTGCTATTTGAAGAAATTATTTTCAAAAGTTCTTGGTATTTTAGTAAACGGTTAAGTTCACAAGTACTTTGTACTTCCATGGTTCAGCCTTTTCCCAGAAGAACTGTGTTGCATAACCTTCTAAGAGTAATCTTAAACTATGCCGCATATGCAGCTTTACCATGCAGGTTATCCTTATTCCTTGGGTTTGGTCACTCTGGCCTCCAGTATCATCTTTTCACAGTACATTCAAAAGGCCTTTGTCAGGGGCCAACCATCAGCACAATACTTAAGTGCTAATTGGAGATAGGTCACTAACCTTATGTACTATCTCACTTGTATCTCAGGAATACTCTCTCTGCTCCATAGGGATTTCTGCAGTTCAACAAAAACACTTCCAATCGCAGAAAGTAATAATTTTCATTTGCCTGTCATGGCAGAGAACCAACCGTTAGTTGATCACAACTTATCACTGCTTTGCTTCCTCATATTCTGGACAGAATTTCCCATTCCCCAAATAAAATTAGTCTCTCACACCATTGCTGTTTGTCAGCTATTGCTGTGGGAAGTTGGCTACTGCATTTCACCCACGAAACACTTTACACCAGGATCTTGAACTATATCTGTGTGATGGGAAGCCAGCGAAGTCTGGTGAGGATGGGGGTGATCGAGTCATGGAGCCTAGTGCAGGAGAGGACACGGGCTGC